TTTTTAGCAGCAGGCTATGTTGTCTAAAATGAATCAGAACTTTCTAGCCAGTCGCTTTTATTTGAAGCTCTTTTTTTAAGCTTGATGGCAGGCTTGAAGGGAACCTTCCTGCTCTCACGAATCAGTATTTTGACCCAGTATGACCCCAAGCGGTCATAGATCGTTTTGATCCACGTTTTTCAACACTTTTCTTCATAGTTTAAGGCATTTTTAATCATTTTATTGAAACTTCCTACCAATTGACCAAATTCTCTGAAAGTTTTTACGTCAAATATCAATTTTTTTGCTAAGGTCGTGCTTTCTCGCATTTCAGAGCTATCCACGTTCTATTGTAATGATTATTATTAGCTTTGATGATAGAAACAATGAAATATTAGCCAAAACTAATAAATACGTAGTTTATACATAGTAAATTCTTCGAAATTACGAAGATTGACTTTAAAAATGGCTTATGATACTATTATTTTTTTCGCCAAGTTTGTGGTATTTTTTCTTAAAGTTAAAAAAATATTTAAAGACAGAAATTTGAAGAAAGATAACACTTTTTTTATTAATGAGGAATACTCAACTATATGGACAAATGCAAAATTTCAAAAAATTGCAACAGTAATTGCTTATTTTTTGGTCAAGAAGAACTGTATGTAGTGGTGCTATTATTTTTTTTCGCAACTGTGTGTATTTTGGTTTGTTTTGAATTGCAAGAAATTATACCCCTAAGTGCATTACGACAAAATATTGAAATACGCTCCGATAATAGCTTATACATATACGAAATACATATGTACATACTTTTAATCACTCACTGATTTGACGGTTTTATGCTTCGTAAGATGCGTCAAAATATCAGATATAGATATAGTTTTGTAATTTTCTCCTCACTGAGATATTTCAAGTAAATTGCTGATGGCACGGAGGAGAACGTCTTGCGGTTGGGCATCCTGAACCTTCCACTTTGGTCTTTCAGCAGATGAGAGGCTGGCTCTCGCACATTTAATATTCTACATGGAGACATCCATAGATCACATACTTCGAGAATTACCCGAAAGCTAATCAATTATTTAGGGATAGGGACGCCTTCGCTTTGTCGTAGCCTTCTGCCCTGCTCGTTGGCCGTTCATTATTTTGCTGCGGGACGGCTCATGTGTTGGACATTATTTTATAACAAATTCTACTTACCAGAGAAAGTTGGAAGAGATTCGCTAATCAAATTACTCATGGTCCTAACTTTGGTTGGCGTGGCGTGTTGTCAAGGTTTTATTTCCGATGTCCGATCCGCTCTGGGCCTTTCGACCGCTCTACCTTCGAAGGCTCAATTCAATTGGCCTACAGAATGTTCGGTCCCGTTCCCCGAACTACGCTGCATCGAAAGCGCCAGCTGCTGACTTCCTAAGTCGCGGAGGCATTGAACTGTCCAAAGTTTTTGACACGTACAACGACTAAAGTTTTCAGCGGTGGCCCGAACATAAATAAACACGTTCATGTGCGTGTGGCTCTCTGTCTCTGTCCCCGTCACTGTCTCTGTCCGTGTCTGTGTCCGTTTCCCGGACCAAATACTGTACCCGTCCTCGAGTCCGAAACGTGACCAGCGACCAAGTCGACGGAGACGCAGCTTGTTTTTCCGATCCGTTATTCGCCGCTGCTAGGCCCGTAAATTTTTCAACAAGTTTTTATTATGTTTTCGTGTCCTTGCAATAAAGCACAAATACGAGAACGCACACCCAACACCAGCCAGTTTCTTCTTGTTTTATTTATTTATATATTTAATATAAGGTCGGTATACCTACCTATGTACATACATACATGGACACACATATCTATACATACAGGCATTCATACAAGTACGGGGATGTATGGGGACGGCTTAGAACAATTTATTGCACAGGGACTTGCACATTTATACTGCATAAATGTTGCCAAATTATTGAGCTAATAAATATTTCCCGTACTAGCTGTCCAACTGGCCTCTGCGCCTCCCATTTGGGTAGCAGTCCCTATCAGGACCGCCTCTGAAAGGGTTGCCTGGCGTTGAGCCATATTTTTGATAACTTTGATTTTTCTCTCTGACAGCTGCGCCTGATCTTTTTGCGTACATATTTCTTTACGAATATACCACCCCCCACCATTACTACCATCAATCAAGGAATCAATCCTATACATACATATGTACATATATGTACATTTTAGCAATCCCTTGTATTTCGGGGGCATATGGCGTTGACTGGTACATACATACATACATATATGTATGGATACGAATGCAGATGTAAAAAAATATTTGATATTCTCAGTTCTTTGCGAGTCTTTGCACTGCACGAAAAAGTACATGGTTGATATTCATGGGGTGATTATCCAGAACCATAAGTAACTAATAAGTGAGCATTACTTCCAATGAAGAATCCATTTTGCTCATAGAGTGGGTGGCTATAGAATCAAATGGCATCCAAACCCATTTTTACCCGCTGAAAGAGGACAAAGGCAAAAACAAAATGTAGTCCAATTCTGGCATGATGGACAGCTGGCCGCAGACCGCACACCGCAGATTGGCAAATTTCAATATGATTTCAATTTTCCACCAAATTAAACTGAGCACAAAAGTTGAGAAAATAATGGACGCAGCTTTCCGCTTAAATAAATTCAGACAAATACGAGTGCTCGTACCGTTTAGCAAATCCGAGCTCAACATGATAATGCTGCAAAGCGAACATGGGCGTTTGACCATCCTCACAGCAGTGTTCGAGTGAGCATTCAATTGCAGTTCGATGAGCTTCGAGCTGGCTCTCGACCTCGCCTTTGTGGCTGCCACTAGAGCTGGATCTGGTGCTGGAGCGGGCTCCGGATCCGGCTCGGGCCCAAGCATACTGCTTCAGCTTCAAAGAGGATGCAACTCCCACGAGGGCTCTTTACACCGATTAAAGGAAGGCCAAAATATTCTTGCATATTAATTTCTGTGGAAAATGAAAACCAGTAAAGTCATAACCAAGCTCCGCAAAAAAGTTCATCACAATAAGGGACAGCGGCAACGACAATGCAGCCAAAGCTCTGAAACGTCCGCATTGGTCTGGCAGTATCCGACAGATAGAAGGCAGCCAGCCCCAAGTCAAGCTTCGGGCTACACTGGAGCTCTAATGGTGTCACTGCTGGCAGTGCTGCATTGGGATGCGAGAAGAGGACGCTGGCACGGGCACTTTTACTCCATCGGGAAGGCAGAGTGTTTGGGGCTTGCCAGGGCATTTGCTTACCAGCTCCATCAGGGGCCTGTTGGAACGAGGTAAAACGCTTTCCGCACAGTTTGCAAAATATGAAGTTTGCCTTTGAAAGTTTGCGGTTTTGGCTTTCTTGCAAGCAAGCGAACAATAAGGAAACACTAAGAAATACATTAGGCCAACCTAGATGAGCACTTTCCAGCAAAAGGAGGACAGCATACTCATGACTGTGAGTGTGTTCTTGGTCTTGAGGGCTGTGTGCATGTATATATGTACACTCGTTCGCATTCGACAGAATTCGTATTTGATATCTTTAGTGAGGCTGGGCTGGGATGCTTAGAACTTGAAGGATAACAAGGGATTGTTTGGTCTCCGCACGCATTATACTCGTACACACGAGTATTCGGATTCGATGCTCACAGTCTCGCCCCTCCCCGTACTTTTCTTTGCATTTCCTCCGTTCAGTTCATCCGCTCATATGCAACCCGACCATCCGAAAGTGTCCGTTAATGAATGTTTGGGCAAACTTGTGGCAACCTTCACGGACGTATGTAGTAACCTCAAAACCAGCCCGACCTCAAGGCGACCCCAAAGGATACATAAATATCTACTCCTTTGTATTTCGGATATGTGTGGGTGGGTGTGTTTACTCGGTAAATGTCCCATTACTCATCGTCATATCGGTCGGACTCTGTCTGGTATGCCCCGCTGGCTGGATTACATACATAAATGTTTAAATTTCATGGATAAATGACCACGATTGATACTTTTTGTGTACTTTTAATCAACAGAACCGCATGGGGATCTCTCGAAACCCGTAGGCATGTGGCAACGCATAAAAAAAGAAAAAATAGAATAATAGAAAAGAAAAAAAGAAAAAAAGAATAACCGAAGAACTTTATCAAATTATAAAATACTTTAGAAACATATTGACCATGTATACAAATTTAATATTTGGGCTGAGCAGGTGTATCTAAAGTTGGGATGAATAAGACCATGAGGTGACAGGAGTCTGCACATGAGAGTCTCACCATGTATCTGACAAACATGGCTGGAGTACTGCTCTGCTCGCTTTCTTCTTGCTGTTACAATTGAATATCCCCTTGCGGATCAATAACATCTCTGAGTGACGAAATATCTCTCTAAATAATCCGCCTAACTGCATATGACCACGCGAAAACGGTCACTCGTATGTATGTATGCACAGACAGGTTCAAGCCAATCAGAGGATTAAGCATTTCAACCTGAATTGCAAAATTTAATGACAACACAAGCCGCAGCTACTGGCTGGGATTATTCCGATAATCCCCGTCAAAGCTGAGGTACGATTTACGATGTGCATACGAATGTATGTACATACATACATATGTACGTACGTACTGTATGTGTGTACGGCCAGAGAGGATTTGCCAGTTTACGGAGAAAAGAGGTAGTCAAAAGGCACTGAGTTGTTAACCGAACTAATTAAACGTGATTTCAGTGGTAAATTTTCTTCAATTTAAAATTAATTTCAAATTCAATAAACAACATCAAACCCAATTAAGACGCCGAGGGAAATTGGAAAAACAAATAATGCCATAATTTGCAGCATCGCTAAGCAAATAAAAAGTCGCTGCTCCGACCATTAGGGACTATTTTTTTAATCTTTTTTTAAATAATCGAGTTAACAACGTTGCGTAATGAATTGTTCGTTGCCGAGTGTTCGTATTCTCAAAAGTACAAATTAATAGGAGAGCAAAAAAAGCAAAACAAGTGCAAAAAGCGAGTGTGAAATATAATTAATTGTTATGCTTTCAGAGAAAAAACGACCACCACAAAAAAGTAATGATATTACAAAAATGAAAAGCAAAAAGCGAAAATAAGGCAAAAAAGACGACGAACAAACCGTTCACGACTTCCGACCAGTGCAACATAATCGTCCGCGTACATACACATACGAGAAGAACTGTACACAGTTTATGTTTGGAATTCATTTGCTACTGAGGTCCTCTCGGTAGCGACTGTGGTCGACTAGAGAATGGACATGAGCAGGGGCATCGGCAGCTTCTATCATATCGCACTCGACGCTAGGCCGCCGACGATGGCCATAAATATGAGAGTTCAAAATACACACATAAATGGCCAAATCTGAGGAGGCACAATAAAAGCGGCCATAAAGAACATTAAATCAGCAGCAGACGCTAACCAGCGATAGCGTTTGCCCATACATACGTCGAGCTCGAGGCGCCGACAGCAGCAACAACAGGGGCAGCAGCAACTGTGGCCAATGGCAATGGCAGCATCACCAGCACCAGCACCAGCCCCAGCCTCAACCCCCCCACCGCAGATCGAGCAGGACCGCTCCGGTCCTCCCCGATGGCGGCACGTGCATTGGGTCTGCTCCTGGCAGTGCTCCTGGAACCATGTTTGTAGTAGGACAGCCCTGCTCCTGGCTGCTGTGTGCCTGCTGACGCGGCCCGTCATGCCGGAAGTTATTTATCGAGTTGATCCTTTGGGTAAATGCTATGTTTTATTTCTCTCCTTTTTTCCACATTTCAGCTACAGCACAAAAGCGGCGGCTACATGCAAACATTCTCGTACAAATTTGCCCTCGCTCTGCGTTCTCTCTGCGGCGGTCCTTGCCCCTTTGTCATTCCCGCGTCCTGCGGCGCTTTTTAGCTAAAAATAAGTGAGATGCAGGGGTCTTTGGCCTCTGTCGCTGTCGCTGTCGCTACCACTGACGCTGCCGCTGCCAGCCAAACTTACATAGCTCCGTGGGGCCCAAAGCCTCCTCCTCATCTGCACCTCGGGTTTTCAACCCAGTGGGCGCCCTGCCGGCTCATTGGGTTCTGGCAAATATTTATGTATAAATCATAATTAAGCACAAATATCCACTCAAAGTGGTTGTCCAGCTGCCTCTGACCCTACCTTCCCATCCCGATCCACTCCGCCTTTCTCTGTCTGCGCTTCCCGTTTTCAGCTCCTGGTAATGAAATTAACTCGTGCGGCAAAAGTTTTTCCACTCCAGATCTGAAAGCGAGAGCCACCAAATATTTATGTAGTTTCTCCATTAATGATTTATACGAGAGTCAAAACAAACAATCATAAATTTCGCAAGATTTATTAACTGTACAACTGTAACTATCAGACACTCGCAAACTTATAAATATACTAGTGGCACGAGTCTGTTTTGAACTTCATCTTGGAGTCGATTTCCCCCTACATATTTGTATATATGATTCCTGTATTCCTGTATTCCTGTATATATGATTCCTTGTATATTCAGATCTATGCTTTAGACACACCTAAGCAGGTAGAATAATGACCTAGATCAATGAAGGGAATAATAATTGGAATGGAATAATTTAATCAATGTTCAGTTTTTGGCAATTTAATCCAATGAGTGCTTCCCAGCCAGTTTACAAAGTCAATCAATTCAGATGTGCCCTGTGTTTCGTACGTGGAAACACTAAACGAAAGAAAAGTCCATATCGTTTGGATGTTTTGCGGCGTTCCCACAGGTCCTCCCCTGTGCTGGAACATCAAACTTAAGGCGACAGAACTGTAACCACACGAGTGACTTTGACTGTGACTGAAGCCAAACATCGCCTAAAAATGAGTCTATAATGGAGGCGACTTTGTCCAGGACACTATAGATGGCTCTTCCATAACTCTTCCACTGGCATAACAGATCACTTAAGCCTTGGCGTCCCCATCAATTTTGTTTTTTTCCCGTATTTTGCCCTTGTTCTTTGGCAACTTCCACATACCCCTCGCTAGTGTTTGACAGAACAGGTCAGGACAAAGAAGTTTTCGTCTTGAGCTAGTAACAGATAATGTAATACAAAATTATAAAAGCACTGTTTAAATTCAGCTCTAAAGATAACGGCAGGAACAATTTGTATTCGCTTAACCAAAAGAAAATATTAGTTTTGTATGGATGTGCTTAACAGCCAGAAGGAAGCTCTTTCGACAAAATAAAAGATAAATAGATGTACAGATCCATGACCAGCCGATTGCGTCTGTCTGTGCATGATGAGCATTTTGGCTCTCAGATACTACAAATGTTCTCATTTTTTGTATTTGAAAATCCATCACAAAGGACAGAAGTCTGTGGTGTCCACAGTTCGGAAGATTTGCATCTACCCGTAATCAAGATCAAAAGGGAACATTTCTTAGTGCGAGAGGAGCATAGGTAGAATGAACATTAAATTCCTCTCTTCTCTCTCTATGTTTATTTAGATACGTTTTCTTGGGTAGATCTGATATCGTAAATTGGGATTTGAAGTTTTACATGCAATTAAAGTTTACGAAATGGAGACTAGGGAAATAGTAGCTTAAATCCGAATTAGTCTTCCTACTTAAGATGTATGCCTTTTTAAGATTCCGTGCACTTTCCAACTGTCTCCCGTTCTTTACAACTTTAACAGAGAGATAAAGAGAATATGTCATACAACGTACTTATCAGTTAATACGATCAGCTAGCGCCGATGTGCACATACATATCATGTATTCATACTCATACTCGAAAACTCGGCAACGGTACAAAAAATGAGACAAGAAAGCCCAAGTTTTGATCACATAATAACAACAAAGATTTGCTCATTTACAGATTTGGGATAATGTAACTATATAACTATGATACATTGTATGGTAGAGTAATTTCAGAGTAGATAATGGTCGGGTATTCGATTAGATTTAATTAGATTGTTCAGATTGGCTTTTCTTGGTCTCTATGTGCCCGTGTAATTACAATAAATGTTCATGTGGCTGGCTATATCTGTCTGAACCCGAGATCTGCCTGTAAATGCGCATTTGAATGTAAAGTTTCAAGTAAAGTAGCTCATGTTATATGTATGTACATACACATTTATATGTCCTGCATCGTGTGGTGTGCGGGTTAGGATGCCTTTTGCGCTAGCGTATATACATATCTGCGTTTTACATTTTTGGAATGGGGAATGGGGACCATTGTTGATGGTGTTGTGGCTGCTTTTGCGAATGGTTTTTCAACTCACTGCTCGCTGTATTCCATTGTGTTTTCACACCCAAAAACGAAAATCTATAATGGCAATGCTATACATAAATGTGCAGAGTATCTCGAGTATCGAAAGTACATATGCTCACAAATACGATATATGTATGTATGTACGTACATATGTGTGTAAATATATTTGGTATGTACTACTTAATATTCGAACCATGTGAGCGCTTTCCTCCACGCGGCACTGGTCCTTCGTCCGTATTTGATATACAGCAGAAGTACCTACCCAGGCGATGGAGGTGGAGGTGCTACATTCTACCAGGAGCAAGTGGCTGAGCGGAAAGCACAATAGACAGAAACAAATAACAGAATCTTCCCATACCCTGGGTATACCCAGTGCCAGAGTGCACTGCCAGGCTTCAGGAAATCTGCGCAGCAGACCAAATGGTTTGGAAAATCATGTTTCGATGGGGAAGCAATCCTAAAGCTATCAGATATGGCAGAGTACCTATGTATGTATGTACATCCTTAATTCATTATTATTGTCAATAGTGCAGGGTATTTTCTAGCTGCGCAATTTCAACTTCTGTCATTCTCCCTTGTTTACACTGATGTCAAGCGCCACGAAAGAATATTCGGAAATAATTTCACATGGAATCGAATGTCTGAATTTGCTAAGGTGTCAAGTGTCAGTTAAGTTGAAGACGGAAAGACTGCATATTGGAAATCGAATTTTCCTCACTTCTGCCTCCCCTACACAAACCAGCTTCAATACCATAGCGCTCGCTTCTCTATTTCTGCATACTCGTCAGATACTCACGATTGTACATCAATTGGAGAGGGTAATGACTTCCCTTCTTGGTTTACTTCTGAAGGTTACTTTCGATTGAACACCCGAAAAGTATTCCAAGCAGAATCAAACGTAACACCATTTACATTTTTCGATTCATTAATCTACGAACTGTAGATGTTTCCATTGTAACATTCAGGCTAGGATTTCTTGTAATAATACATTATATTTAAAGTCAACTAATAAAGTTCAATTACTTGTCGTTGTTTATTTTTAGCTCTCCTGGCCGCCACCTTGAGAACGTATCAACGAGCAGGATGCGACTCCGAGCAGCTGTCACTCAGTTGTCCTCGCGGCACCAGCATTTCCATTGAACTGGCTCAGTACGGACGGGCGGGTGGTAAGTCAGGGAACGGCACGTGGTCAAGAGGGCAGTCCTGCAGTGGTCTGGAAAAGGAGTGGTCTTGCTCGTCCTGGCAGCATGTCTCAATTGATTGATTGCTGGCCAAAGTTTGTCCGTTACACGCGTCGATTGTGCGCATTGTGTTGTACTTGCCTGCGGGAGCGCGAGCGTGGGCATGGACATGGACATGGACGTGTTTGTGTCTCTGTATGCTGGCACACGAAATGGGCAGCCTTGGAGCGGTCCATGCACACGCCCATATCAAGTATCGCGAGATTGTATGGGAAGTAAATATGGAAAGGTTGGGCACTTCGGCACTTGCGGACCTTGGGTTGCGGGGCGGGGCGGGGCGGGGCAAAGGTTTTTTCATTGTAGGCTCCTATCATAGTACTTGTGCCCACTTGGCATGTGGCACTCCAGCCCACTCGTACCACTCTTGTCTTCCTTTCCCACTCGTAGTATACTCACCTGCCTTCTCCACTCAAAAGCACGTCGAAACCGTCCACGACACGTTCACATAAACAAAATTGCGCTCTCGTCCACTTGAACAGATTTAACCGACCACAGCCTGTGTCCACCCGTTTCGCAAGAGGACCTCACCACGACCGGAAGTGCCAGCGATGCTGAAATCCACAGTGGAACAGAAATCGAAGTCAAACCGCCGGAAACATGTACCGTAAGCGGATTACAGGTAAGCAGAATCAGTATAATTGCAATTCCATCATCGTCGCACTCATCATTGAGGGTAAAAGCAGGCTGTGCCAGAGGAGACGAGGCGAAACGACGGAAAGCAATGCCAGTATTGACCTCACTGCGGCAGTGGCTTGGGCCATACACACTCGCACTCGTACGAATGGGCATGTACACACATCCATATGTACAGATGTATGTCCTATGTCCTTGGTGTATAATGCAGCAGTCTCGGATTGGTCAGCGTAGCTGGATGCCACTTGACAGCGGATCGGCTTACACTTGTGCCCAATTTTATTTTCCCATTTTCCGCACGACTCTACAACTCTCTGCATTCAAAGACATTCTCACACGAAGGGAGAATGCAAGCCCTCTCGCTCCACACATGTGGAGACAGCATAAATATAGTAAATCAGCGAACTAGAATGATGCCATAAAACCAGCAATAATTCATAATAAAAATCGATTAGATTCACTTTGGCCAATAAGGGATAAATCATTTGTACTCGCACGAGCAATATGACTGAGCTCCACGACTCCTGTTCCTCGTCCTCGAACCAATTTCCTAAGCCCAACAAACTGTTCAAAATAATTATAAACACTCATTTTTATACCCGAACGTGCACTTGCACTCTTATGTACCCTGTGCCTGGTCTTTTTTTTATCAGTACCAGGGCAGTAACAGTCAATGTAGTTGCTAATATCACATCGAAGAATATCCCATAAAGACTTATTATTGTGTGTGCCGCTCTCCCTTGTTGCGTTTCATTAGGCACATCAATTTCAAAGTCGGTCTCCATGCCTGGGTGTGGATGCTTAGGAAGAAGCAGAGCCAGCGGCTAATCAAATCCTAAAGAAGAGAATCAAATTAAGCGGAGCAGAGGCATCTACGCAGTGGGTTCGAACCATGGTAGCTCGGACGCCCAGCATCAGAGCGTTAACGACAGATTATGCATACCCTTTCCGAACACCGCACGCTCCACTTCCCATTGAGGGGAAAAATGCTGCCACAGCAAACAAATTAATAGCTCAGCTTTTGTCCTGGCAATGACACAGAGGACCAAAAGCAAATAAAGCGAATGTGAATGCAAGAAATCTACCTACATGTATGTACATATGTAGGTATAGACATTTGTGTGTACACTTGTAGTGCGTTCCAGGAAATCGACCTAATTGATTTGGATTCCAGGATTTGTAGCACTGCCCTGTCCGGGATTGTTTGGATTGATTAGCGTTGATATGGCAGTACTGACTAACCTAAAGCACTTTGATGATTGAGGGAATATGTATGCATATGCATGAATCTCAGAACTCTGCCGGTTCAGATAATAAAAGGTTCAAGCAAATTACTGATATGAATCAGCTTTCCTTTTGTGGAAAATGTGTCACCTGTCACCTCTCTAATTACACATTTATCGCCGCCCAAGGCAATTATATTTACATCAGTTATACAAAGTCCAATTTAGGGACAAGGGTAAAATATTCAATTGCTATTTTCTGGCACAGCCCTTTACTCATTATGCAATTCAGGCGAGTATCAGCCGGATTTGTATGGCATAAAATATTGTTTAATCTCTGTGCCTGGCTTTTAGTCAGGTGCAAGAATTTATGAGTCTACTCTCGTAAGGCAAATCGTTGCCTTGGCTTCACTCCAAGAATGCTTCTGGTGCCACCCCACCAGTGCCACCAGCTCTGAAGTATTGGGACAGATGTGCCCATTGCTCGAACATTGGTATCTAAATCGAATCCTGCTGCACAATCCTCACCCCTACTGCTGCCCTTCCATGCATTTCCTCATATGGCGCTCTGTCTGGTTTCTTACAGTACGCCCTCCTGCAGACGGTGGTAGATGCCTGCCAGAAGAAACGGCACTGCAAGTTTGCCGCGAATTCCAAAACGCACTCTAGTGGAGATCCCTGCTCGGGCATTCGGAAATTCGTCGAGATTGCCTACAAATGTCGTCCATGTAAGTATTCCAGCGTCTATCCAGCTAGGCCCAGACAAAACTACCAAGAACCAAACAAGAGCTCAGTGTGTGCATTTGCACATTCCTTGTCGGGTGCAATCGATTGGAATATGTCGAGGCGGCGCAGTGCCTGTCAGGTTGCAGACGCCGTCCTCGTCCTCCCCGCCGACGACATACATGAAATATATTATTTGCTGTGCGATATGATAAATATTTGCCTGCTGCAAAAGTGGCAAATATCAATTTAAGTTTTTGAGCAAACAAACAATTTTGTGTCAGCTGAAACAGATAAACAATATGGCAGTGGTGTCGTTCAATTGGGAACAAGCGATACCTTCGACAACACTCAACGTATAACTCGGATTTATCCGATCATTCGAGATGTTTGGGGTTAGAATTACAAATTATAAAACGATTTACTTGAAACTCGCAGAGGAAATCCTCCCAATAATTGGGTTTTGCTTAGAAAAAAAAGAGTAAACATGAGAAAATGATTTTACTAATTTTATTTATAGACTTGTACTAGGAAATATTTTACTGGGAAATTGTGAGAGATGCTCATAGACTAAAATGAAAATCGAAATCTATTAGCGGATATCCTACCATCGGAAATCGGCTTAAATTGAATACTCGCTTTATTGCACGAAGAATAAATATCTTCGGTTGGTCACTGCCCAGCTTTACGCTTTTCATCCGCGGTCTGGTTTCAATAATCCTGGTTCCTGGACTTTCCGATTTGATTCTGCTGAGAGCAGAACGAGCGCGGCAGCTGCGCTCGTTAACAATAGTTGTGCAAAGTTTTTGCTAAACTATTTGCATAGTTTGGCGCAGCTCTGTTTGCCTTAGCCCCGGTCGTCCAGTCTCCGTCTCCATCACCGCAGCGATGAAGCTAATGGCCTCGATTATTTACGATCCGCTTGGCCACTCGCGTTTATTCACTCGTGGACCCGGAGCATTTCGGGCGAAGACGATAAGCGAACTGATGTGACTTGCTACTTGCTACCGCTTGCTACTTGCCACCGGCAAGTCTTCTTAGTAGACACCTGCCCCAGCCAATCTCAGGCACTGTCCCAATGTGCGATAAACGAGCTCTTAATGCGCTCCGCAGAAGGGCAACGCATTTCCGATAAATGCAGATGTGCTTTGGATGCTGTGTACTCTACTCGTTCATGATTTCGTGTACGACTCTAAAGCGGAGGTGCTGCTTTGGAGCTGGCATATATGTATGTAATTCCTTGGTAATTTATTCCAGACCCAGCAAAGTTTTTACTTCCTATTTATTTTCTGTGTCAAGTGAAGCAGATGCTATTTCGTTAAGCAGCGCACAAACACACCAAAGCCAGAGAGAACACAAAAGCCCACTGGAAGAGGAAAGCCAGTCAAATTAGAAAATGGAAGTGCAGAACTGCCAGTAAGAGGCCACATGTACAAGTACGAGCACTTGGTCTACCCTCCGTTACCGTAGCACCATAGATGCTGAACAAGGTAGGATGGGAAAAGTACTAAGACTCGGCGGAGGGATGTACTATGTGGTGGGGACAACCGACGAGCGTCGAGCGACGAGTGGCTCGGAGCCGCAGCCCATGCCGAGTATAATGTAATTAAGGAGACTCTTTTTTTTTGTTCTTTTTTTTCCCTAAATTGTCTGTTATCTTTTGCTCATTACGGACACCAGCGACAAGTAATAAAACTGCAAAGTACGAGTGGGAAACGTTGAAAAATAACGGCCGGGTTATGTGCGTCGAAAGGGAAAGAAAGGGCAGGGAACGCACCCGCACCATGCAGATAAGGCGGATAGGGCGGATGAGGCTGATGCGACTGATGCGGAGCCTCATCCTGAGCTGCACGACACAAGCAGCGCATGGACCCAGCTGGCCGGCGGAAGAGGCTGGAGCTAGGGGCGCCTGGGGAGTGGCTTCTGCGGGCGGCACATTGCGGTCATAAAAATGCCAATTTTCAACTTTTCTCACGTTTAGCCGTAATAAAACGTGTACTCGCCGAAGAACCAAGAAATCACGGCTCTCAATAGGTCGGCTACCCCGGCGGCAGGTGGAAAGCACACTAAGCGTGTGTTCTCGTGCCCCAGAGGCCTGTGGGAAAAAACCAACCAGGAAAACCTTTGGGCAAGGCCCAAGCAACCCCCCCACACAGTTAACCAAATATTTACCAAATTTATTAAACTTTATCCCTATGTTGATGCTGAAGGTTCCATTTCAATGCCTATACATAATATACTTACCAAAGGACCCTGAAACACAAAATCTAACGCCGGGGTCTGTACATAAACTCTCGCCCTAACATATTTATGGGACTTGTTCCGGATAGATATGAAATAGATAGAAACTACAGCTTCTACAAGACCATAACGATCTACATGAACTGAAGGACTAAAAATAGTCGGTACCATCTGAAAAAAAAGAGAGAGACACGTGCTGCCGAAAGGTAGCTTCCATTTTTTGGCTGCAAAAGTTGGAAGAAAGTTATGGGAAAATCTGAGTGCGGCGGGGATCCCCGGCCACTTATATTCACAGAAGAACTTTCTGAATTTATCAATTTATATAATATGAATAACATATAAATAATAATAAATAAATACCATCAGAAATTCCAAAACCGATTGAGATGATGCATTGAGATTTACGAGCTACACCCACTACGTGGGTGTGTGGGTGTGTGCTTTGCATACATAACTTGTACATTTTATTTAAATATATTTATGGCTTATAATTTCTCTTTCCACTGAATTCCAGACGAATTCCGAAGCAAGGTGGCCTGCGAGAACGACAATATGCCGCTTGTGTGCAATCCCTACTCTCGCATTGCCATATACAGCGCCTCCTTCGGCCACACAGAACGAGAGAGCGTACAGTGTGGGGGACAGGGCGCCGGAGTCAGCACTGGTACCAGCGAAGACAACGGCAGGCCGAGTAAGTAGCGCTGAGAGGGTTGGCGATTTTTTGCTAGTGGTAGTCTTACGTTGGCAATTTCAATCAAATATTTTGCAGCCTGCCTGGTGTCGTACGCCACGGAGACAGTGATGCAGATCTGCCATGGGCGGCGACGCTGCTCGGTAACCGCAGATGCTGGCACATTCGGTCGTCCGTGCAAGGCCGATGTGCGAATGTACCTAAAAGTTGTGTACACATGCAGTGAGTACCTCACCAGCGAGAACAGAGATTCATTAAATGTATTAACATTCCCCTGTACTGTTTCCAGTTCCACGCAAAGTGCTGAAGGATCGCTACGAGACAGCGCCGGAGGGCGACGAGCCACAGCAGTCTGAGCTCGACATGGACCAAGATGAGCTCTATGACGAAGACCAGTTCTACAAAGAGTCCGAAGCCATTCCGCCAGCCCCCAAGCTTCAAGGCGCTATTCCAAATGTCGGTATGCCCTTCGAGTTCGGGAATGGCGCGCTAGGAGTGGGTACTTCAAGCACACTCCTTCCACCACTTCTTTCGCTTGACGATGGCTTATTAGAAGGTAAGTCAAACAATTTAATTTTTTGGCATTTATCCCTGTTTAAGAAACAGACCAACAATAATTGGGAAGATTCAATATGGATCATAGCTGTCCTCGACTAGAAAACTTTTTCTTTCACAGAAAAACTTGTGTCATCTTTACGGCTGCTTGATCGGATAAAAACAGCGTTGAACCAAGACTTTGTCACTGAGATAGCTGACTCGGCGGTACACACGACTGCTTCCAGTGAAGAGATCGGTGCAATCGAAGGTTCACAATCAAGTTCAGAACCGACACCCGAAACCATCGCCGCTGATGGAAACGCTATTTTCAAACGCAAGTGCGTTAATGTCGATGATTGGGGAGTCATTGGACTGAACTGTACCGAAGAGGACATCGTTACGGAGCAGGTCGAGGTCATTGGTTTCTTGGTAAATTGGCTCAGCTGCTATGTCCATATACGAAGTGAGTGTGGATGTCCCTAGCTATTACATAGCAACATACATATGTATGTACATATGTATATGTACCGCTGGATAACGTTCGTTTTTGCACGAAACCTTCATGTGTAAATAATCAAAGTTTTACTTCACACAAACTCTCGTCCAAACACCCCTTGGTGCCATACCTACAAAAACACATATGTAATAGGGAATAAATATACAATATGTACATATGTGGGAATGAATAGTGAAGAATCCACAAACACTGATAGCACCTCAAAGCATTTACCACGGGAAAATCACGTCCCAACACTCTGGAGACGACAGACAATAAGTAAGCGTGGCCAGGCTCGCTGCCTTTCATTCCCGAAGAAAAGCCTTGCTGAATGCGCTGTCATAAGTAGTAAAGTCAACTCAGCAAGCTAGACATGTAGCACACAAGCTTGCAGCAACAGCTCCCCACACGGCAAAAGAGTTTTCATTTCATTCATGTCCCTTGACACAAACATGCGAGTTAAAGTTCAGCCCGGCTTGTTTTAGCCACACGACCAAGCAACGCTCCTATATGTCCTTCGGACATGTCCGCAGGAGATGATAACTTTCTACGTCATTAGCATAGTCCACTAACACTATTTGATGTGAAACTCGATTGCCCTGACTTCAGTATTTATTTGTTTTTGTTCTCTCTTTCATGGGCAAGCAGAACATCAGGAGCAATTTTACCTATACCTAATCATATCGGTGGCGGCTGGCGTTCTCCTCTGTCTGACGCTTGTCATTGGCCGGCTCGCGCTGCAGAAACGGCGCGGTGAACGGAAGAACAGCGGCTCAAGTGCTAGCGGGGTCGCCAAGGCCTTTGCAGATACTCAAGGTGCCAGCACAGGGGTCGGAAATGGGGGTGCAAGCAGGTTTCATCAGGCGGCAACAAGAGAATCCCACCTGCCAGACTCCTTTGCAGATGACATATCTGACATCGACGCCGACATCGACCTAACAGGTCCGATGCCACTGCCCAGTCTATCGTCTCGGAACGAGGTAAGTCGCTTAACAATTCTTTCCAGAAAAGTGCACCAGAAAAGATTCTCATGCCAACCATGATGAATGCCAATAGCCAACAAATTTTTTGATTGTTAATCATCAGTGATAGGGAAATTCACATCACTGTTTCGACCATTCTAACATTGTTGCTCAGAACAATTTCAATTATCCGACCCAATCTTCACAACGTTTTCTAGCAATCCTTGTATGTCTCTACTATAATAATGATTAGTGTCCCTACGCTCGCAGCAGTCCATAAATCCAAATGCTGTGCTTTGCTTTGCGGCAAAGATTAGAGGCTTGCCGCATGACCAACTTCCCCTACCTCTAGCTCTACCCCTACACCTGCCACTACCACTACCCATCCCAGCACAGTTAGTGTCTCGGACAGCAGCCATTGCCAGAGGTAAATACACAGGCATTACTAATTATGCAAATCTAATTGTTGGTGCAGTCGACCATGTGTGACGAGGAAGGGACACAAAAGTTAAAGAAAACCGAGCATTGTTTGTGATGGAAATTGGAAGTAGAGCGGGGAGGCTGCCTCGTTTCTTACTGTTGTCAGGGTAGGGCACAAGTGCAGTTGCTTTCCTATGGCCATTAAATCCTTTTCTCGCAAACAAAGGACCCTAGACTTTGAAGCACTGGGAGTCGTTTGTCCTGCCACAGCCTGCCAGGTGGAGGCATCCTTGCTCCGAATGCTCTCTGCAACAATTTCTTTGCCCTTTGTACTGCGCCATGCGTACTGAGAGGAAAAGAGCAAAAACAACGGGACGGCAGGGATCCGATGCACATATAGTACAAACGCACAACCTCGTATACACAGACATACATGTACATATTTACACATATTTTCTTCAATCTTTATGTCTGCTCTGTCAACACACTGGGTTTTGCATACCCTCTAAGGTAACACCCTGAGCCGACAATCATTCTGATTTCTGTCTTCTGCTCTAAGAAAGTAGATTGATCAGTGTGCTGGCACAATCTTGGTTATTTTGTGCTTTCTCTTATAGCCTTAGACTTGAATATACGGTATAGCTTATTCCCCTACATTAGCTTGATAGCGGAGTGCAGGGCTGGATTGCCAGCCAACGCCAACGAGCACTAATGAGTGCCAGCCCAGCCTAACTTTATGCCACACTCTGCTCTCTCTTTTTATGTCCTTTGTGGACGCGCCGTCACCATGAACACACACAAAACTGACTATGTGCTGGCAAACAAAAGACCTACATGACATACGCACCGACGCCCAAGTGCAGCTACGGAGGCCTACCAGGGGCACTCTCGCACCCTACCTCTGGAGCAACCACTGTTCTGATGGCTCCGCACTCGCAGGCCAGTTACACTACCATGGGTCATCCCACAACAAACGGGCCCCTGACAATGGGTGAGGATACGATCAGTTTACTTATGTACTTTAAATTGCAAAATCTACTTGGTTCCTGTAGGTGCTCACTTCCTTGGACCCTCCGGACTGAGCACGGTTTCACCAGCGTACTTGGGAGGTGCTGTCATGGTGGCTGGACATCACCACACTCTGCGACGCACGCTGATACCCACCAGCATGGGAATAATGAGCTCCCCCTCCCCGCCGCCGACTTCGATGAGTACTGGCCATCCCCTGCCACTAACAGCCATGCCCTCAACCTCGAACAGCGGCTGTGGGATCTACTACGATAGCACAGTGCCACGCAATCTGTCGCGTGGCGTGTCTACAGAGAGCAGCGCTCAGTATTTCTACGGGTGACACTCGCTAAACCGGAAGGCTTCCTTGCCGATCGCAATTGCAGTGCGACCCTCTCACATGGGCTTTAACATGCTGCCGCTGACGGCAACCATGGGCTCGCAGGCAAGCTCCAGTGCCGATGGCCGAGCAAGTCGCTCGGGGACTCCTCCTAACAGCAACAGCAACAAGCCGGGCATACCAGCCATCACCGTGACCGACTCGCCAGCGCCAGCGCCAGCCTCTATGGCTCTGCCGAGCAAATTGCTCTCCCTGAAATCTCCCAGGTCCTTTGGGACTATGCAGCCAAAGCAGGAGTTCGAACAATCTTCCAAATCGACCAACAATATTGAGGGTGGTCTGCAAATTTGCGCCTCCGGGCGCAGTCAGTGCTTCTAGGAACCAATTTCAGTGGCTGTACAGTGACGTCCATTGGGCAAGCATCTACTCTATTTGTAAATATTGACAGACTTGTTTACTCTTAAGTAATTAGACCTTTGTGTAAGAGACTAGGTGCCAGAGATTTTAAATGATAACTGCTGTTCAGAGGCTTATCCGTTGACAACCGTTAACAACAAAAACTAACACGATGCAGAACTAAGTAGTCCCAAATGAAAGGATTTATATCACTGTATTACGTATTACCAACAATATGACAGTACCATGTACTTATTAATAGATCAATGAACATTACTTGCATTCATATTCATGCTCTTCAGTGAAATGCGATTATAAAAGTGTAACTACATATGTACATACATATGTGGTGTTGAAGTTTTAAATATTGTAACGACTAAAACAAGTGCCGATTGCGTAACTCGCACAACACCATGTTTATTGATTTGTAAACCACCCATGATACATAGTTCTCCAAAGGGTTTGAACATGCCGACCATATAGTAATTTTACGTTAGTTATAGGCCATATTAAACTCAAAAGAAGAAAACTAACAGGGAGAATTTGTTGGATCCGGTCCATGTTGGTGACGGGGATACTCGCGATCCCCTTTTACAGATGCACAGTTGCGTTCGTTTGTGCTTAATACCCATAAGATGAAAACATTTATCCATTCATACCGTTAACATTTCAAAAACATAGTACGAGTTCAAGCAGCACATGAGCAATAGCACCTGGTTGCAGGTGCAGTAGCAGGTTAACAAAGTTGTAAGCCGAAATGTCTTTATTGCCATTGAGGCTCGAGTATCACATACGAAGAGAGAAAAACACTCCCCAGAGTAGTTTAAAATAAGATCATAGAAATTGTTGAACCCTTTCGGATAACTAGCCATACATATACATATACATATACATTTACATATACATACATATGTAGTTAAATGAGCTAGTTGGCCTTAATAATGTGAATGTTACTTTCAGTCCATTAATAATCGAACATTTGTTTTCAATGCCAATGGCTCGCGAAAAGCGAATGCCCATATATTAAAAATACTCCATCTGTAAGATTAATGAGAGACCATATTACAACTATTTCGTGGATCAAATTCGGCAGCGTAAACCATTCTCATGTTTTACAATAGTTTTTGTTTAGGGCGAAGTAATGAAACAGGGTAATAAATAAATATACGTATAAAAATGAAGTTACTCCATTACATATGTACTCACATATTTATGTACATGTATGCACTCTTACCTATGGGTACACAGGACATTTTAAAGGATTTATGAAGGTATGATTTTAACTGAGAGAAAGCATTCTTTGTAAGTGCACTCCGTTAATGAGTGTTATCAACATATTATGTAGCTATTTTACCTCCCCAATCATCTATTTTTGTCCCTTTCAACGGTAACCAGAGTATGCTCGGGGTACTGTTTAAGTTCGGGGTATGGCACGAGTACCCTTTTAACCACTGCCACTGAACACACAAGTAAGTAAATCGCATACTGCTAGTTCTAAACTTAATTGCTCAACGGGTAGGAACCCGAGTGCAACAAAAGCATTCAATTCAGCACACAAACGGGAATGGCAGTGACAGGCAGGCCCAATAGCGAAAGTCGCTGGCTGGTTGTTAAAGGGAAATCTATTCAGTTTCTGGCTCCCCGACGTTCTCCCTGCTTGATCTGCTCTTGGCAGGCTCAACTCGAGTGCAAACCCGTATCCGGGTCGGTACGTTTATCCTGAAACGAGGATGTTGCCGAACTTGAAATTCGTTTTTCTTAATATCTGTCTGCAGCCAAACTACAAAGACTAATGGATTGCAATTGATTAGGTCTGTCAATAATGATGAAGCAGCACATAATGCACACACAGACAGGGCAGTGGTAAGTGGGCCAAGTGGAAGTGGACGTGAACGGCTCTTGTTGCGAAAATGTCTTGTGGGGAATAACTTTTTGTTTTTGCCTAGAGGACTTGGACTTGGAAGTCCTTACTAGCCGTGTAGTAATGTTAATGGCCACCCAAGACAAGCCCTCAGAGACGGTTGGTCACCCGCCTCCCAGTGGCAACGAGTTGTTAATTGCGCCCTGCCAGAAGTGGGCACCTCTGGAAGCATGGTTAATATATTGAAGTGAAACTTCTTCATTTGCACCACCAGTAAAAGTCTAATTATGATAAGTGGCTGCAAGTAGTTGGCAGTGGCAGAGACAGAGCCAGCGACAGCGCCAGAGCCAGAGCCAGAGCCAGATAGAGAAATTAGACGGGTGGATGTGGATGGGACCCACCGGCAGTGGCCAACATGCAGAGTAAATACTTCAAGCGATGCTGTTGGTACGACAACAAAACTTTTTCAATTATAAATATTAAATAGCCACAAGCACTTTGGAATAAATTCCACTTGCAAATGAGTAGCGAACAATTCCACTTAACGAACCTCAATCCAAGGATATTCACATGCGTCCCATTATTATTTTGGAGCTCCGTTCACCTCAAAAATATGTATTCAGCACACTTGCTAGGTAGCAGTAATCAAAATATTCGTAAAATATTCGTACAAGCATGATAAATCCATAACTTTTTTGTACGACAGTGTCTAACGCACTAGAGAGTGTAGTAGTTGCGACAATTCTTAGTACTAATATGAGGAATTATTATGTGAAAAACGGTACGACTTTTTCCAGGAACATTTTAGCAAGTCACACACACTACTGAAGATTTCAGTTCATAATATTTTAGAACTGTGGTACATATAAAATATAAATCCTTTTTATATTTGTGTATTTTTATCAAGCAATCGAACTAAACGAATTATGTGCATCTAAAACATGTAGGTTTCTTGCGGAGTATCGTGTAAATATTAGTTTTTGTTCTTTACAGACTTATAAGTGTATCATACATACATCTGTTCATATGGCCTTAATTAGGAGCTCCGTTGAGGCAAAACAATTAAATTAAAGATGCGTCCTCAGACCGGAACGGTGTCAAAATTCTTGTCACTTCAAATGGGCCCAGCCTTCAAAGTGTTGCAATTATACTTACTCGTATTTACCGCGCAACTAGCGGTATTCCGTGCCCACCATCTGTGTCATGACAAGCAGCTCAGTGGAGCTCAGACTGGCGAAATCCGGAGGACCAAAATGCCGCCATAGTCCGACGGAATTGAAGAATAGGGTAGCTGCCTGCACTTTCTTTTGAACCGTTAGAGTTGGTGGGGATGTTAAGTGGAGTCTCATTTTACTGGTCCACCCTCTGGCACCTCCGCTGGTTGGCAGTTGAAGGTGACAGGCTGACTGTAACTGTAACATGTGCTTAACCCAAAACACGGCCACCCAAGAGAGCGCCTCTTGCGCCGCTCCTCACAGCAACCTAGTTGCAGTTTTTTATTCTCGTATGTGCAACTGCTTCCGAAAAAAATTATGGAAATTAAATTTAAAAGGGGAATTGCTATACGGAAAGGACTGCTGCAAATCACAGCCCGGCTTCTGGGGGAACTGTACCCAGAGGAAAAATGGGGCAACGTTAACTGTGGCAATTCCCACATGGTATACGTTAATGTATGTACATTTGGCTTCCTCTGATCTACGGAAGGTCATAAGCAATGTGGTTTCACTTTAAAATCGATGGGATTAGTATAATGAGGAAGTTTAACAACAGTTTTACTGCTGGTTGAGGTCTCCTCAGGTTAGCCCATACTGTCGACACGACGCCCATGACAACATTGAAGCACATATGTAGGTATTCGACAGCGTGAAAACTTTAAGGTACACCCGCTCCAGCTGATATCCGTACTGTAAGACAGCGGGATTGTGGGCACACAAAGGCAAACGGGCTTTTTGTGGGAGAAACCATATGCATACATATGTACAGAACCGAAACCATAGTGATTTTACACCTTTGCAAACTATGATCACTATGATCGTACACACATACGAGTTGAAGATATTCGGGAATTTTTACAAATCTCCCGCAAATACCAGAAAGTCTACTGCTGTAAGCTTAAAAGCGACTTAAAAACGAACTCAGAGAACGCAAAATGTCACTATCCATGTGGAATCATAGAGAAAATCTATTACAGTAGAGCTCATCAGTTACCCGAACCATATCGGGGCACTGGCAGATTGGCACCAGAATGGGTTCCAGACCGTCTTCCCCCACGATGACTTCTGCAGAAGCTGTCGGGACAAGAATGAGGAGGCGAAGGAATCGCATCTAAACCTGCTCTGATCCCGATTCTACTTTTTTTTAGTTAGAGATTAATTCAAAGAGAAATTTTGTTGTGAACACTACTCGACAAAATCTATCTATCTATCTATATATCCGTTCTTCAGCCAGAATGATGAAATTAATGTACAGTGGCTAAATGTAATAATTAAAATGTACAATTTAAAGCACAGACGTCCTACTGATTACCGGGTATGGAAGTTGTGACGCGTAAGCAGCGTCTCACACGTCCCACCTAGTGACTCTTCGAGTACCGGGTATAAAAAGAGCGTTTTATATTTTTATCATTTTATTAAATATAATTTGTCTATAATAATGAACCGAAAAGTATAGGCTCGGAAAGTAATCAAATGGTATACACCGATGTGCCGAAACCATTGGCCAACATTTGCTGATCAATCCAGTCTCGGGCCAGTGCAACGTTAGCATATGCCGCTGGCACCTCATCGTTGCAGCCAATTCCCCAGGCCACAATGCCGCTCTGTTGATAACGATTCTCTGAGGCGAGTCCTATGGGGCAGGCAAGTGGTGCGCCACCATCGCCTTGGCAGGTGTCCACGCCGCGCTGACCGCCGGCGCACATAAATGACTTATCCAAGGCGAACTTAGGGCCAAGTCGCGTGTTGCGCAGCCGTGTTTGGCAAGTATTAAAGTCCACGACAGGCAACGGCACACTTTTCATTATTACACTATATTTTCCGGGAGATCCAAATACATCCTTGCCCCAGCCAGTGGAAGTACAGGTAATGGAAGGTGCGGCGCTTTCACCTTGTCGTGGCAAGCAGACCACATTGATATGATCGTCCAAAGTAACTGGCTGAGCGAGAACTACAAGCGCAAAATCGTTGGCTATGTTTCGAGCCTTGAATTGCGGATGTGTAATGATGCGTTGCACGACTCTATCTTGATAGGGGAGACGCTCTTTAGTTGTTTGAGAGTCCCACTCGCCAGCTCGCACCATGAAGCTACCCGGAGCATGAGTCTCGACGCAGTGCACCGCAGTCAGAACCACTTGTGGGTGTATCAGTGAACCGGCACAGAAATAGCTGAAATTTCCAGAATGCAGCAGTGCCACTGTCCATGGAAACTCACCAAAACCAGCTTCGTTCTGGGTTACACCGGAGAGCGTAAAATCCAAACCGCCAACGTTGCGAATGCCGCAGCCCCGAGGCTGGTTCGGTCGTTTATCCAACGGCGTCGGGTTCAGCGTCTCGCTACGTGTTCTATTGCCATCGCAACATATGTCCACGGAGGAGGGGCAGACTGGATCGTCATTGTTAAAGCGGATATCGATTACACCGAATCCGTCAAAGGTCTCGTCCTCCGTTACACTGTTGGTAGACGGGTCACATTTGTAATAAGGAACACAATTGCACGTAGCCGTCTTTCCGCTGATCGAGTTAAAATTCGTCAGTGGACTGGAGGGATCTATTGGCTCTGGCGTTACTACTACTCCAATTCCACTAGATGGCCGTGTTAAAGGTGGATTGTTCGATGGGATACTTGGATTGGTGTTGAATATTTCTTGAATGTTTTTCTCAGCGGTTGAGTCTTGCTGCGGAGCCCCTTTAGCACTTAAAGTGAAAAGGGCGGCCAATACTACCAAATGGCAAAGGTTCCTATACCCATTCATCGTAGTCTGTAATTAAAAAGAAATGGACATTTCTTGTACATATTTTGTGTATGATGGAACACACGATATTCCTCTTGCCTACTTCTGTTACAATATCTGTTCTCTGTCTGGAGAAGTATATTGTCTTGGCTATTCAATTACTAAACTCTAAAAACTATATACTCGGACGTACTATGTATACACGCATATGTACATAAATACATTCATACATACATACATACATATGTAAGTGTACATTGTAATCTTCTTTGTATTTATTAACTTTTAACTAATTTTCTATGCTTAATGCTTGTTTTGCATCCAGCTACTGTTTATTGTCAATTTACATATTTTAAACATCGTTCACATCGTTATCGTTCAAATAAGAAAATTTCAAGTGTAAAGCCCGATCAACACATTACTCACTTGTTTCTTAATTTTAGTATAACCTTGACTTAGCGGCGATTTTTATGAGTAACTTTAAGACTGAGGCGAAACCCAATCTCATTTGATAACCTGCCTTTGGTTTTAGTAATCTACGGGTTACGGATTGTGGCGCCTCGACAGCTGTGAACACGAACGAAGCTTCGCGGCGACTGCCGCTGAAAGCTGGGAATCAAATGAGATAAGTAAGTTGAGTGAGTTGAAATTCAAGGTACATTCATACATACATACATATGTAGGTACTCCTAGGCATACGTAGCCCCGACATTAACTTTATTTGCGAATCTTATTGTCGACTCGAACAGGCAGAGAGCAGTTTTGTCTCCCGAACCCTGATAAGAGCTGTGATGGGAATATGAAATTAAGAGCGACTGGAATTGCTTTGATATGAGAGTGTAACTACTCGTATTGAACAGTTTCCTGTCAAACCGGTTTAGTTATATACCAGTACATTTATTTATTTATTCAAGCTGATTCACACTCTTCTCATCGTATGAAGAGATGAGGCTTTGCCTGTAGAGCTCAACCTAATATGAGCCCTTCTTTCTGGGGTTGCTCTTAATATACTCGGATGCATATAAGATTACAATGCGACCAACTTGAATACGTCACCCATCAAAACCTAAGATTCGATTTAACATGTGAAAGCTTTGTAGAGAGGTGGAATTACACTTAAAAAAGCAACTGCTTCAAAACTTTTGTTTAATGTTTTTTCTAGTGTCTAATTTTTTTACTATAATGTAAACTCACTATTAAGAAGTCATAAGTGAGGTGGGTATACAATATTCACAGCAGAAGATCAAATCACAATGCTGTCACTTCTGTCAAATCTGTACGACTTCTCTCCTCACTCACAATTTGAGAAAATGCCGGTAGTTGAGCACTGACCTCACTGCTAAAGAAGGCTCGGTCATAAAAGAATTGGAGCATTATGAGGAGTTACAGCGAGGACACATAGTCGAGAAAAGTGTTTAAAATGTCTGTCGTTCCCAATGTTTTTGTTTATATCTCAGAAATCGGTTGCCTTTAGCCAGCACTGTTGCCATCGGGGAGCGAAGATGTTGCATGTCGTTGATCTTGTTGGCTTTCTTATCTTTCGAATGCGAAACTGATACATACTCAGCCTAACTTACCGAAACCTATCGAAAAACTCACTCAGGCCAAAGCACGCAGAGCAAGTTTCTTCAAACAAATATTCAAAAAACTTGATTACAACGAAAATCCAAAAACTTCGTTCACGTTTTCATTACTGTGTTCATCCAAAAAAGAAAAACACTTACCAATAAACACTAGTATTAAAAGGCTGCTCGTGTTACTACGTCTAAAGAAAGTTTTGCGGGAGCTGCGATCTATCCAAGTATCCAAGTACATCTTTAAAACAGATTTAAAATTATACGCTACATCATGCGATTTATACAGGTTCTGATGTGAAAAATCCCTGGGAACTGGAGCAGGATAGCCTAATTCTGTCATACTCGATTGATCGCCCTCCGCAAGTGTCGAAAGTTTTCGCCACTACCAAAGACATAAGATTATTAATACAACAACTAACAATTTTTGTTTATAATTCAATTATTTAATATTGTTTTAATCATCTTGATTGCCAGCTAGGTTAGCTCTTCAGTTTATTTTTAAAATAAATACAAAATGTGTCGGTAAAAACAAGTATAAGAATGACATTACTTTTCTTATAGCATGTTACAGGATGATTTACTCAATGGAAGTACTTTATTGGCAAATGATACAATTGCTGAAGCTGGTTGCGAGGAGGCTAAATCGCAAAAAATGTGGCATTGGTTGTCCTTAGTACCAGTCAGCGGACGTGCTACGAATGCAAATATTGACTTGTTAACGGATCGCTGCAATCCTTCGTCGCTTGCCTTGACACTCCAAAATCGTTGATTTGGGTCCATGCTGAAGTGAGAAATATTCTGCGCTGCATAATGCCGGCGGAAGAAAGTTTTGCGGGTGTTGTCGGTCAATGTAATGCCTTCCTGCGATATTTTTAAATGTACTTCTATTGGAAGGGAATATTTTGCATCCAAGTACATCTGGTGAACGGACTTACGAACGGCCTCGAGCCCAGTGAGCGATTCCGTATCACACTGGTATAAGTAAAGCACGTTGCATGCAGCGCCCTGTGCAAGAACCTGCTTCTGTCTGCATATAAGTTCATTGTCGCGAGAATAAAGCAGCAGATCCTGATCTGGTATTATGAGAGTGCATGGCAGCGCTAATTTATTAATAGAGTGCTGATAGACAAAGGCTGATAGGGACGTAAATATGGGTTCGTTGGCGCATCCCTTAAGACGAATGCCTCGATTCGTAGGCTCCAGGAGAAAGTGGCGTACCAACTCATAGCCGTTTCCTGATATGCTCGTACTAGGTACACATGGTGGAGCTTTCGCGACCCGCAACACAAGCCCATATGCATCACGATACGTGGTCGAATTTCGTATGATAAATGTGCCGGCCTGTGCTGTACGTAGTAGCTGCACAGCCTCTTCCCGTGTCATATGTGGCTTGTACCAAAATTGTGATGAATCCTTGGCAAACTTCACCAAATGTGGTTCCACATCCTGAGTAACACTAGGTTGCGCTGCCCAACCGTGCTCTTCAGGTGTTACGCATTTTGCAGTTCCTGGTGGGTACGGACTGACGCATCGATCACTGTTGGCCAACTGCTGAGCAACCGGAAATGTTGGCGTCTCCGGACGTTTCTTTTCCACCACAAGGTGAGTGGGATCAACATTTTCTGAGCTCGGAGAAGTGCATAAGGCGGCTTGTTTTGCATATGTGAAGTCCATGTATTTTTGGTGTTTAGATCCATTTATTTCTTGCGTAGAAAGAATGGTCTTATTGAGCTTCTCATGCAGCTCATCGAAATCTTTTTGTATTGATGCTTTTTGGGCCAGATGCGTTGCAGCATTATTTTGTTCTCGCAAAGATTTTTCTTTTCGTTCCATCAACATTTCTTCAAACTCTTGTCGCGACGGCGTCTTTCTTAGCACAGGGTGAGAAGGCGATATTCCGGGTCTTGTGCTCTTGCGAGTGCTTGAGGGACTGCTTGGGTATGTGATTTGTGCTCGCTTTGCACTCGGTGTTTCAAAAACGTTCCCAGAAGGAACATGGCTTAAGTCGCTGGCATTGAATCCCACAGGCACGTTTCCATACGTAAAGGGTTGAGCATTTTCACGTGCATGGTAAGGTATATTTTCTGTGTCATCCGATTCCGGATTCCCACGATTTTCACTAGAAAGTGAACCAACAGGAATAGGTAAATGCACAGTTGTCATTTTGCCGGAAGCCCAGTTTTCAAATGATCAGCGTCTTAAGCACTACAAAACAAAAAAATCATATATATTAATATTTGATTGATTCAAAAATTTGGTAAATAAATTAATAAATAAAAAACTTTTCTAAGAATTTGGTTCTTGACAGATGAAGTCTACAGCATCTACATACATTTGCTTGTATGTTTGTACATATGTGCATACATATGTACATACATTGCTACGATATATTGGTCGGGTCGAATGCAGCTGATGCAACAAAAAGGAGAAGGTACGTGTGAGACGCTTTTTACGCGTCACAACTTTTATACCCGGCACTCAGGACTACATCTAGATGATGCTTTTTCTACATCTAGATGTAGAACACATCGCCAACCACTAGATATCGTTCACATTACAGAGCACGTAATGCCTACTAAATAAAATGCATCAAAAAAATTGGATCAGTTAATCGTATTTTCCAATTTATGAGATATTTAAAACAGCAATAAAATTGGTACTTTTTCCTGCACATTCTGTGCAATAATGACCGCTAGGTTTCACAGCAGATTTTTCGAAAGTGGCGCCATCTATTAAAATTTCTTATACGCAACTTTGATGGTCACTCGTTTTATAATACAGAGCGTTAAAAACCGAGTCTTGGTTTTAACTTTTAAATATTAGCTTTTGGGCACTGTTTCCGCAACTCCTCGCAACCAGTTCAGAATCAAAATCTCGAAATAAAAAGCCAAGTGCTGCTGTTCGACCGAGTCGGAATTCAAATCAATTGAATCTCTTCTTTTCAATTTCGATATTCACCTATTAAATGAATGTTCTTCCTCTTTCTCTATCGTATTCACATATCACATGTATGTTCTATACCAACAAGCTTCTGTCAGTAACTTAATGCTACAAATTCATTTTACTTATACAAAATACTAATTGCTCCCGGCCATAAGCACTTTGCACTAATTTCGCGTAAACAGCCACCAAAACTGGTCATTGGGACAATAGTGCATCTGCACCTCAGCGGTGTTTTGTCAAATTTTACATTTTTTCTTCATCTGTCATCTACATCTACAACACTTCTCACACCAACACGCTCGCCACCCTTCCCTACCCACATACTGCTGACTTGCGGCAGACGCAGAGGCAGCGCCCTCACACAAAAAAAAAACAAATATAAGCTGCGGGACGGGGTGGGTTAAAAGTCGGAAGAGTCCTCGTCAGGGGAAGGGCAGAGACAGGGGCCAAGTGAAGCAGAAGTGTGAATGAGAGAATGTAAAAAGAGAAACAAACGCTGCGGGACAGGGTGGGTTTAGCAACTGGAAATTAATTTCTCCATTGTGGCTATAATAATGATCCGATCGGATCCCAATTTGGTGATCTGATAGATATGGCCATTTCCTACGGAATGGCGTTTTTAGTTTTCTTGTATCTTCAAAACTGTAGATTTGGGAGGTTTTCGCCCTTTTGCGGGGGCGGAAGGGGGCGCGGCTAATTTTTGAAATACACTGGTTTCAGTGTGAGCATACAGCACAAAATTTGGTGGCTCTAGCTCTTATAGTCTCTGAGAACGAGCCGACAAACAAGACGGACAGACGGACAGACAGACATGGCTCTATCGACTCGGGTATTGAAGCTGATCAAGAATATATATACTTTATGGGGTCGGAAACGCTTCCTTCTGTGCGTTACATACAACCGTTATTCGCACAAATACAATATACCCTATTTACTCTTTGAGTACCGGGTAAAAAAAAACGAGTCCCAACTGAGATACTGGTTTGCATACGAGAAAAGTAAGAGTATCCTATGGGAGTCCATCGTATTTAGTGTTAATCGATGTTATGATGTAGTAACAAACATATGGTTTATAACACAAACATACCAATCGTATGTACATATGTACATTATTGTACAAATTTTCTCTAATTTTTTATGATTTTATTCAAATGGTATTTCACGTTTGAAATATTGCTCAAATAACACTTAAATAATTTAGTTTTCCATTAGTTAAGTACTTCCCATATTATCAATACATACTTAAAAGATTTCTTTGCAATTGTATTACATACGCATGATACCAAAATACTATTTTATATATATTTATTTCTCTATGTATTTATTAATGCAATAGTAGCTGTCATACGCACGGAACACATATAGGTTGGCAAACGGTATCAAGGGTATCATATGGTTTTCGATATTATTTACTGCAAAATGCTCAATTCAGCACAAAATCTTTGGGTCACTTACTTATTCACTAAAGACAAAATACCGAGCCTATTTTGGTGTATAGCCGTTTATTTATATAGAAAAGTATGCATACATCTGCAGCATGTACAATTCTATATGTATATTTGCGTTCGTGAGAATCCAAACCACTTTTTTCGTGCTTGAAAAGCGCGTCCGGCATGAACAGAATCTGGCAGTTGACTATCGGGGCAGCTCGCAAGCATAAAAGCTTATTAGTTTCGATTCTCATTTTAGATGCATACATACACTTATAAATATACACATGTACATATGTACGTATGTAAGTATGTATATATGTACAAATTCAGTCTACACATGTTTGTATAGCAAATAAAGCTCCAACGTTCCGATAGTTTAGAAAATTGTAGGATCTTAATAAACATACATACGCCCTCGCATGTACATACATGTCTATGTTTTTATGTGTGTACATTATATAGCATGGAGCCCTCCAAGAGGGGATATAAACGAGGTCAGAGTCAAAATTAAGATTCATCGCATTTGTAAATCGACATAAAGATAAACCGTAAGTCAAAGTGACTTTAATACTTACACAAACAGCTTTAATTAGTATTGCTATTATAGTATAGTATAGTATAGTATAGTATAGTATAGTATAGTATAGTATAGTATAGTATAGTATAGTATAGTATGGTATAGTATAGTATAGTATAGTATAGTATCCTCAGATTGATCCTATTTTGTATATGCCCAATAATTTGCAAGTTCAAAGTACCTTGATTTTTTACAAAGTTTCAGACCTGTACTGGTCCTGAAATATATAATAATAATAATGTTATACAATTAATTTATTGTAATGTAATAATGTAAACCTTTTCAGCCTTTTAAGCAAGAACAAACCACCACAAAGCAATTTTCAAAGTCAATCTTGAATGTTAAAACAAACTACAGTGCGGTTGTTGGGATCCGATTGAAAAATGTTTCTCTTATCTTTAAAATAAAGGATGCCGCAGAAATGGGCTATTTGAGCAGGCGGAAAGGCGTGTGACAAATGCACTTGAAATCAAAAGAGTCTTCACACTAAATCCAGTTATTCCAGTTATTGGGCAAAGTACAAAAATTCGGTTCAGGAACTAATAAGTCCATATCTTGGTTATTACACTACTCGACACGATTTTGCCGGGTCGATCCAGAACAACTTTTTCTAAAAGATATGGGGCTTAGAAATGGTTTGACGACCTTTTTTTTTATACCCGGTACTCGCAGAGTAAATAGGGTATATTGTATTTGTGCACAAAGTATGCAACACACAGAAGGAAACGTTTCCGACCCCATAAAGTATATATATTCTTGATCAGCATCAATATCCGAGTCGATTGAGCCATGTATGTCTGTCCGTCCGTCTGTCCGTCCTGATGAGCGCCTAGTACTCAGAGACTATAAGAGCTAGAGCTACCAAAATGTTGCATCCAGACTTCTGTATGCTCACACTGTTACTAGTGTATTTAAAAAATGACGCCCCCTTCCGCCCCCGCAAAAGGGCAAAAACCTCCCAAATCTACAATTTTGAAGATAAAAGAAAACTAAAAACGCCATTCCGTAGGGAATGACCATATCTATCAGATCACCAAATTGGGCCAAAATGAAGAAATTAATTTTCAGTGGCTAAACCCACGCCGTCCCGCAGTTTATATTTGTTTTTTTTTAACCTTTTTCACATTCTCTCATTCGCAGTCTGCTTCTTCTGTGTGCGGCCACTGTCTCTGGCGCGAGTCTGCAATGTGTGGGTCTAGGGAAGGGGGGGGGGGGGGGGGGGGGGGGGGGGGGGCGTAGTGAGAAGTGTTGTAGATGTAGATGACAGATGAAGTAAAAATGTAAAATTTTACAAAACACCGCTAAGGTACAAATGTAGTACTGAGTGCAGGGTATAAAAGTTGTGACGCGTAAGAAGAGTCTCACACGTCCCATCTCGTTTTTAATGCAAACATTTGTTTGTAGAATTTTTAAAGTTTGTTTTTTCTTTACGATATTTTCCAGGTTGTAATGAACTTAGCTATTTCATGCTTCCGTGCTTTCTGTAAGAAGCAGAGGGTGGAATGAGATAATGTGCAAAAAATAAGAAAATATGCTGGAAGGGGTCGGGGAAGCCACTGCAAATTAATTTCTTCATTCTGGCTAGTGCCAATCTAGTCCCAATTCGGTCATATGGTCATATTTTCTTTAAAATTGTGGATACAGCAGATTTTCGTCCTTTGTGGGGCCGGAATACATTTTTGAAATACACTTGTATCAGTGTGATATCAGAGCAATCTGAAGGTACAATTCTGAGGCTCTAGCTTTTATAGTCTCTGAGAACTAGCCGACAAGCAAGACAAGATTAATGAAGATCAAGAATATACATATTAGTTTATGGGGTCGGAAACGTTTCATTCTATGCGTATGTACATATGTACATCCACCGTTGGGCACAAATACAAAATGCCCTATTTATCCTCGAGTACCTGGTATAATAAGCATACAAAAAGTATTGAACAGGAACCCTAATCCGAAAGTTTTTGTAGTATCTTTGAAACTGCACGTCCATTTCTGATAAAAAAGTTTTTAAATTAAGTTGTCTCATTTTTATTATTATAAATATTAAACAAAATACACAATTTTACCACTAAAACGAATAAGTATTTGTTCTTAAACATTTATTTCACATAAGCAGAACTAATCAATATCTTCTGGTGTATTTCCAGTAATGCCAGATAACAATTTTTTGGTAAATTCACGTAGCTGTAACGGATCCTCGTTGTTAAAATCATCCATCACCGACTGCATTTGATCTTTAAGACCATCTGCTATGGATGTGGTTATGCGATCTTTAAAAAAATTTGTTATAGGGCTTAGAATAATTCCAGTCAGCTGTCTTATCAACCGAGCCTGGTCCAGTTGAACATGGATATTGCTGTTAATTAAAATTTAAAAAAATTTTAAAAATGTATACAATTGTATCAAATGCAGTGCATATTTGTAGGCCTTTACAAACAATTATAGTCCAAGAAAGTATTTAAATATGCGCTGTAATTTGTATTTTTAATGTATGTACATAATGATTGTATTTACATAAGTACATCTCCTAATTATGTACCTGAACTCCATTATACGAAAATCGTGAAGATGAAGCTTGGAGTTGATGACGTTTACAGCTAACTCAGCATACACGACTGTATTGTCCAACGAACCCATAACTTTGCCGTATCCTTCAATTGCCATCAGTTTTAGGAAAAAGTTATATTCGAACTATAAATTTATGAAACAGAAACGATTTATTACAAATTCTTTAATTTTACATCGATTGGGATCTATTACCGTAAGCACTAAAAGACTAGACGAAGTACTATAACAAGTTTGAAAATCACATTTTCTTTCAATGTAGATAATGTGCGACAATATCTCTTGAGAGAATTACATTGGTTGATGATCTTGGTGTTAAACTAGACCCCAAGTTAAAGTTTTCTGAACACATTTCTATCATAGTAAAAAAAGCCATGGGAGTGCTTGAGCTTTTTCTTAAAGAAAAAAACGTATATTTGTTTATTTTCTTGGAGATAGCGGCTCTTTTTATTTACATAACCTAGTTGTCGTACATCAGGTTGTAAGAACTTTGCCATTCTAGATTACTAGATTTTAGATTACTGTCTGCGAAACATTAGGTTTTCGAATTTTTACGAATTTGTTACTTAAAAACTCATGAGAAATTGCACAAAAATTATATCCTGTGTCCTTCACTTTTGTTTGGTATAGGTGCATTAAAAGGGGGTCTTTAAATTTTTTTGCTATCTAAAATCTATGGCGAAACGGCTGAGCCACTGAAAGGGTCAGGTCACGAATAATATTTGGATTTCATGGATGTCATTGTTAACTCGAGTCGTAATTTTTCATTGTTCTGGCTGTAATAATGTATTTAGCAAAAATAACCTGAGTAGAAGGAATAATTTTTCCTAATTTTGTGATCTGTGTAGTAAGTTTGCAGCCAAAGACGAAAGCTGACCATTGTAATATATCAGTACGCTATCTTTATTTGTTTTTTTTTATTGTTCAACTAGTAGACAGTCATGTCAAAGTGTCTTGCAAGTGTGGGCGGGATGGAGTAGCCAATATTAAAAAATATATGTAATCTAATAATTTACTTTGCCCCACAGGTACAAACCTTACTGGGATTCGTCTACAGAAAAGTGCAGAAATTAGTATAGTAATTTTATGGTTTGGTTGAGATGATCTTCATATTGCACGTCAGTTACACTACCCGAAACGATTGAGGAAACTCAAGGATCGAAACCCACTTTTTATGAAAGATATGATGAAACTTTTTTTTCTATGGCAGAACTTTTTTTCATTCTCATTTTCTCATTCTCGGGATTGTGGACTCCCAAACTCTTTTGGGACAAATCGATTTTACAGTTCCCTCCAGACCAACCCGTCTGAGTTGGATATGTAGAATATATTACGCCCAGCATGAACTTTTCCGGGTTCATGCAATTATTATAATTACTTGTACCATTTAATCCCCCGAAATATCCCTTGAAAAAATTGTCTTTAACATTTATCATTTACCTTAGATTAGAATATTTGTAAATTGTATCTTTCCTTTCTCTCCTGTACTTATATTCATTTTTATTCCTATTCCATAATTAACAGATAATTGTTAATTGAAATAAATAAATACATTTAAGGTACATTTTACTTATCAATTTAAATGTATTTCTTTAGTATGGTTCAAAGCGAGATTGTGACAAGCTTTAGTCGTACATGAGCACATGAACATAAATGCATAGAAGTTTTGGCCAAATTAGGTAATTTGGCCGGGGACAATCAAATGGCTGCGATCTTGAAAAATGCTAGCGCTTTGAAAATACCGTACCCTCGGCATTAAACCGGCATGCCTGTTTTCAAGGAGCATGCTAATATGTTATCGTCAACTTCGCAATGAAAACCGTTCAATTCAGATTTATTTTAGAATACCCGGACAATACTTTTATTAATACATACATATATAATCATAACGATAAACAAAACGAGTGTGAGTATCTCTGACATATGGACAAGACAGCTCATTCATACGCAATCGATATCTGCCGATCTAACAGTCAATGTATATGTATCTGTGTATTATCAAAATTTTTTTTTGTTAAAATAACAATAAATATCTGATGTACTCATAGATGTCTCTAAAAGCGATTTCGAAAAATATATCTTTTTTTGCAATGTGAAACGCCTAGTTTCAGGGCGAGTAATAGGCCCTAATCCATCCATGTCCCGATTACAATGTTAGAACGCTTACTTAAATTTAAAATCTTGAAAAATAATTGAGATTGTATAGCTCTTCACGTTCTTAAATGCTGGATACATGTGCAGAGGCGGGGCCCATGTATAAAATATTCTGAAATGAAGGTACTCCGAAAACGTTTAGTTCTTTCTCACCTGAAGTTTATTTATTTTTAAGTAAAATCTGCTGAGGAACGATTTGCCTTCATACGTCATGAATGCGTCCCCATGTCTCGCTATACCATATAGGTTATAGACTATCCCATTAGTCAAATGGAGACCCGCCTCATAGGTGATGAACAGGGGTTTCTGTATTTAATACAATTAGAATTTGATTAGGTGCTTTCATGTTACAGAAATATTTACATTGTTATTGAACTTACTACTGATATACTCTCTTTCATGTCAGGCAACTGCAAATGTTCTATTCCTAGCTTTTGCAGATGCAATAGGACCATTGGTGTTACAACATCCACCTCTTCGTTTATATTAGTCCAGCCGATATCATCCTTTTCAAAGTCTTCCTCATTACTCACATTTTTTGAAATAGCGTGGGACCTTCGTCGTTAACGGAAAATTTCAGTTTCATATAGTATTACACCCAAAATAATTAAACAAATATTTTTTTTTAACTCCAAGATTTGCAACCAAGCTATTTTTATGAAGAACCTCAAGATACCGTCTAAATATAATGGCTTGGTTGGTTCTATGGGTACCATGTACTATTACAAATGATCGATTCTGCTCTTCATGAAGTCAAAATTCTGAAATGTTTTTTTTTTATTAATATTTAATAATTACCTGAATGTTTTTTCCTGCTTAGGTTCATCACGTGGCGTAACAACATCAACCAAAGCCGCCATGAACGTAATGCACATTATAAGTCTAACCACATACATTTTAATAAATCGGCGAGGTTTTTTTCAGTCCGCTTTGCTGTTGCTTATATTGATTAACTCAATTATTATTAGTTTTGCTTCTTCTACTTTGCTATAGCAATCCGAGGTCAAAATGTAGCTGACACTTGAAGCTTAAGCATATTATAACGATGTCTATAAGTACGTATGGATGTAACGTGACATCATATTCGAACTTTGTTCTATAAGTATCCGCATGGTACAAGTAAGTCACAGCGATTGCATGGCAGATATGTACGAGTATGACAGAACTTGAAGAATTTTTGAGAATTAATTATTCTATTAGCTTGTCACACGCGAAATTAAAATGCACGCATATTCGAATCACCGTCCAAGCACAATTAATCTTCTGTATGCCTGCACATATGTATATTTCTATGTACATATAAGCATGTGACTACATACATATGTACATAGATATGTTATTATAGACATTAATTAATATTCAACCAGAAATATATATTTTGTTGTATACTAATTCATATTTAGTACCGCGTACGTACAGATACAATGAACAACTCCCCAAACTGTGGGTCACAAAAACGCGGACACCTCTCTCGCAAATAAATAAACACACAGACACACAGGCAGACAGGCACAGCTACCGTAATTATTTGCTTCCTATTTAGTGAACATGAGACTATCAAAGCAAAGCAATTTATAAATTATTGCCCACTCCGAGCTACAAGCAAACCTGAAAATTCAAGCTCACCCGTTGACGGATACCGATACCTTACGTGCGAGCGGTTGAATCGAAACTATTGTTGAAATGTGTGAGCGAAAACAATCAGAGCCGTTGACGCTGTCAACCGCACAAGCGTCATAAATTACACTGTTGCCTTGATCTTGTTAAGTTTTCGAACTATGGAAAAGTCTCAGTGCAATTTTGTGGTATTCCACTTTTAGTGTAAAACATTTCTTTTAAGCTTTCTCACTTGTGTGCGAGTGAGCTTGGGTTTTCAGAAAATTTGTGTGTGTAGACAGTAAGCTTACTACATTTGAACCGAAAAAAGAAACAATTCAAAGCCGGTAATTCGAACTGCATACACATAATTGAATCGTACTTAATTTATATGTATATGTGTACATAAATATTACTTATGCCGAGAATCATCGGCATTAGTTGGACATATTGTGTTCATGACCTTGAGTGTTACATTATTGGATGTGGGCTCCATAAATTATTTTTTCATTGATTCACATAGGTATTTTCACCTCTCATACTCTTCCAGAGAAATTTTCTTTAAAAAGAAGAATATGTAATTAAGTAGAAACAGATGGACAGGTGGATAAATGTCAATATATAGAGAATCTTCTATCTATTCTGCAGATTCTAATGAGTATTTATTATTTTTGTATAATAAAATAATTTTTTAAAGAATTGCTTAAAATAACTATTGTGGAAGACCAAATATAACAAAGAAAAGAACAAAGAAACAGAACAAAGAAAAGAAGAGTTATAGTTTCGAAGTATCCTTGTTGCTCGCAGGCGACATGAACCGAATCGCACCAAGCCAAGAGCCGACAGGCTCTACAGAAGGAGCAACGGGCAAGACGGGCAGAGTAAATCAGAGATGACAGTTGTGGGGTGTGCCTTCGTGAACACACTACTCTTGAGGCACGTGAGCCGCTACTCAGTTTTTTTATTTACAGCCATACTGGACAAGAGAGAAGGCGGGAGCGACAGCAAGAAATGCCAAAACATTGATTTTGATCGAGTATATCTGCAAAGTTTTGTTTAGTGGTCGGTAAAGGTCAAAACTATAATTTAAAATATCACAGTACGGACACCAATTTCTCCAGCTGTCATAATTTCTGAGTTACAGCCGTCGATCAGGACCAGTATCGCCTTGACTATTGATGCTGATCAAGGACAGTTTTACTGGTAAGCATACTGCATGTGATCACATGGGTTTACCTCTAGCTGTAGTTCGATTATTTGAGGACAAAGAATAAATAACGTGATAGTTATACATATATAATTATAGATTTTATATTAAATATGGTTAGTTTTGTGTTTTACAGAACAAAAACATTAATATGTCTGTGTTATTTTATGCTTTGCTCGTTTCTTTGGAGAGAAATTATGTGAGATGATTATATTTACACCACCGCAACGGGCTTATCGTCTCGAATATATTCCTCAAAGTTTTTGTCATCCAAAAGTGCTGGGTCAAAATCGTTTATTATCTTGGCGAGTGCTGGATTATCCAGCATAGTTGTGTGATTTCCTTCAATTACTTTAAGCACCACTTTGCCAGATGTCAGCTGTGAAACACAATAGTCTTCATCGATGTCTTGAAGAGAAACCTCTGCTGGACGGATTAGAGTTATGGGAGACTTAAGGTTCATGGTACTGTCCAAATCAAATGTAGCTGCCATTTTCACCCTTCGAAACATGGCGCCTACCATTGTAGTAGCGTACTCTTTGCTGTACACCTTCTGCTTTTCCACATACTCCATGAACAGTTTCATTTTTTCCTCAAGGCTCTTGATCTTGTGGAAAACTGTAGCAGTCGACTCCTGATGGAATATCTTGCTGACGATTCTAGTTAAAAGAAGGTCGTAGAGGTCGTTATCCGAAAAGTTCTCCCCCAAGTGAAGATTAGTGAGTCGTTTTAAGAAATGAGGTGCTCCGTCTAACAGCAAAATATGTCCACGGAAGCCAGCGTTTTCCAGTAGCTCTGCAAGCTTAAGGGCCACAAAAGTACCAAAGGAGTATCCAATGATATAAAAGGGTTCTGTCGGCTTCAAAATGGGCTTGACACGCTACAAGATGGCAAAAAATAACATTTGATAATTTATGTACAATTATGTACAATAAGGATAAAGGATTTACTCACTTCTAAGCTCTGCTCAGCTATTTCTCGAACAGTCTCCAGGCTGGCAAATTGATGGAGCTGTAGGACAACGGCCCTGCTTTGCAAATTCGATCCAATATGGTACCAGGCCTGACCCGCAGTTCCCTCTAGCCCAGGAATTATTATATTTGGTGGGAAGCTCTGTTTTGAAGGAGCTGCTGATGTGTTCAGTGGAATCATGACTTCATCGCAATGTGCTTCGTCGCCCAAGTTTCGAAGAAGCATGTCCATGCCTAAGAGGTTACTTTCTGATGCAAATATCATTTTGATGTCATCAGTATTCTCTCTCTCCCTGGCATCAACGAACTCCTGAAGTTTCTGGAATGTAAGCGATCGTAGATCTTGCGGCGACAAAACCAGCTCGAAGTCACGCTCAAGGGTTTGCTTGATTTCGACTGCCATCAGCGAGTCCATACCCATCTCTGACAGCGTTGTGCCCAGCGATACCGATTTCAAGTCCCGAATGCCCATGATATTCATAACAGCATCGATAATACTTTCGTTACCAGATCGTCCAGAACGTTTCTCGGCGACGACCATACTAGCAACGATTGGCGATTCGGCGCTCAACAAGTTGTCAAGCTCTTGCAGACATGATGAGATTCGCTGCTGAAGGGTTCCTCCTATTTCCATGTCAATTTTGTCTTCTGCCATGTCCGCCACAAGTCCCACCTCGCCAACCGCACCCCACTGGATGGCTTTACCTGGCAACCCATCTCTGTGGCGACATTCGATTATGCGTTCCATAACAGAATTGGCCATTCCATAATTTGTTTGACCGGCATTTCCACGGCCACAGGAAACACTGGAGAACACCACAAAGTGTTCCAGTTCTGGGCAAAATACCCGTGATAAGGTATCCAAATGTTTTGTTGCTACCGCTTTAGGAGAAAAGCTCTCCACAAATTGGTCCATGCTTTGGTTCGAAAAAATGCCGTCACGCAGCAATACAGCCAGATTGAAAATACCACCCACAGGACCCAATTTAGAAGCCTCTGACAGCAACTTTTGACAGCCATCAACGGACGATATATCCGCCGTGTTAACCATTACTTCGCAGCCGTAAGTCTTCCAAAGCCTATTAAATGGATTGTAAATAAAATTATATTTTCAAACAATTTGTGAGAAAACCCGTAGCTCTGGTATAGTTAACTTACGCAATTCGGTAAGACTGATAGTCCTTCGTTATGCCGCGACTGGAGCTGAGTATCAGCTTTCGTGCCCCACGCAGAGCCATCCAGTCAGCCAGCTCCATTCCAAAGCCGCCTAGTCCGCCCGGAATGACGTAGGATAAGTTTGGTTTGAAGTAGATCTGGCTCATCACTCGCACTGGTAAGGTAGCCGCATCCTCGGGTGTTTCCCGAACTTGGATTACTACTTTTCCGATGTGTTTTCCACCAATGAGGTGCCTAAATGCCTGCTCAATTTCATGAGCCGGGAACACCGTGACGGGCAACGGCTGAATTACACCTTTGGCAATATCCGCATCAATTAAACTTTTCAAGCGCTGTCAAAGTGTGCACAAGTGCATAAACATCATTTCATTTAGCTAATATCATTGAGGTTAATTACCCAAATATCTTCTTCGGGAGCCACGAGCAGACTATCTGCCAAGACAGCATGGAAAGTGATCTCCTTCAGAAAGCATCCCATTCCAAGCTTGCTGTCGTTGGCCATATCGAACTTTCCGATTTCCAAGAAGTGGCCTGACTTTCCAAGGCAACGAACCGAAGCAAGAAGCTTGTCCTCAGACAAGGAGTTCAACACAAAATCCACACCATTTCCATCCGTCTCGCGCTGAACCATTAGCTCAAAAGATGTGTCCCGCGAGTTTCCAATGTTTGCCTCTGAAAAGTAAAACATACGACAGGGCCGATTGGTTAATTTTTGCATTAATAACATTGTGGCTCAGGTTTACCTTTTAGTTGTGGGAATGTATCCAGCAGGAACTGTTTCTTTTGAGGAGTACTGCAAGTTGTAAAAACTTCCATGTTGTAGGCCAATGCCACTCGAATCGCGGCAAGTCCAATGCCCCCGGTTCCGGCATGTATAAGTATACTTTTTCCTTTCCGTATGTCACTCACCATGAAGAAGGCGTAGTATACGGTTATATATACCACTGGCACGGTGGCTGCCTCCTTCAGGGACCAGTGATCGGGAATATCCCAAATGAGCTTTGACGGCTTCTCCACGTAAGAGGCAACGCCACCCTTGACAACCATACTCATGATGCGCCGACCCGTTACGGTGTTGATCCCGGAATACTCGAAGCCCAGAACACAATTCTGGTCTATTCGACTGGAGCCATATAACTCAACGGCCAAGCGACCCGTTGCCAGCATAACATCTCTAAAATTGAGCGAAGAGTACGCAATTTTGATCATGCAGTCTTGCGGATCCAGCGGGCCCTCAAGCCAGCGGAGGGTTGACAAATCTCCACGTTGAATCACATTTCCATAGATGTGATCCAATCTGGCCATCTGTCTATCAGTCTTGGGCAATTTCAAGTGTCTCAGACTCCCCCAGGTGCCCTGAGTTTTAAAAATAACAAAGTATTAGTTATGAGCGGTACCCGTGTGCCAAGAATAATAACTTACATTGCGATAGATGTTAATTGCCAACCCGAGCGAGTGCTGAGCTGCATAGAAGGGATCTGTCAAATTGAACGGGGGGGCTGTTTCGTCCGAAACAAAGAAACATTTAATCAAGTTGCCATCTGGCTCTTTGCGCAAGCAGTTCACCAGCCCAATGAGTCCATTGAGCTCCTCATTAAAGGAATACAAAACAACAGGTGTCTTTGAGCCGAGCGCAGACTGAATCGGAGCGATCCACTTGAATTTTTCATCATTTTCGGAGACTTTCACAATGACTGGTTCTATTTGCAGGTTCTTTGGAACTTTCTGGAGGAGAACAAATGTCTCCTCATTGTTTTCAATGGGAATTATTGAAATCGTTCGGAACTGATCGTAGACTTCTAAATGTACGCTTTCGATATTGGATTGCGCTCTTATCAGCAGATATCCACTTTCTGTAAGCACGTTTTTGGCGGTTTCAATAACTTCCCTGTTTCGATCTCCGCAGACACCACCACAAACAACGAAATGACAATTCGATTGCGTGGACAAATTTCCATTTTCAATATGAATGCCTGGAATCTCGTCGACCTTTTTGGATGTCAAAAACATGTAGTCTCCCGTAATTACTGGCAGGTCCTCGATAGCTTCCAGGAATTCGTTTAAAACCGTATTCCTGCCATCTGTATCTACTTCGACCAGCTTCAGTTTCAATGTAGCATTATTTTCTAGGGCCAGTTGCACACAAATTCGGGCAGCATTTTCCAACGATATCGCCGGAGACGTCACGAAAGGGAGAAATTCATATTTCTCCAGGATGGGAATTCCGGGAGGCCTGCGTCTTTGGACGGGACTGGCATGAAGACCGACTAGCTCAATGCCACCCGCAATAATCCGATCGTACTTTTGATCCACGTATACGTCGAAGAAACGATTCTCAGGATCCAGTTTGGTGAGTTCGGCAAAGTGGTGCAGGCCATTTATTCGGAGTTTTCGAATCTTTGTTGGCAGCAGGAGAGTCCGAGAATCAGTTCCCAGGATCTGAATTTGCAGCATCGCATCCATGAATGTTACCCAATTATAGTTCCACTCCACCTGTCCGTAGAGCCCATCCGAACGGGCCTTATGTACTGCCTTGAATGCTCCATTGTAATGATATCCGCGTAGTCTTAGTTCTTTGTAGAAGTCTTTTTTTGCTACCATCGGAAACTCTGATTCCTTTTGGAAATGATATACCTCAGGTATGGTGCGACTCTCAATCTCTCTTATAATGCCAGTGACAACCAAACTACCCGCTTCCGTTATCTAAGTGAAGTAAGAATAATTTGTAGTACATATTTGTATATATATTCTTGTTGTATATACATAAGTGAACACTTACCTCAAAGTGACCGGTGCCATAGTGAATCATGACATTCAATTCCACTTCGCCATTCACTGACATGTTCGTGGCCCTCAAAAAGCGTACGTCTTCGAACTCGACCGGTACATCCATATAGCTGGGACCATGGTACATAAGAGAGAATGTTTCCCAAACGTACTGCAGGTAGCATGTGGCTGGGACCAAGATTTTACCATCGATAACGTGACCACTCATAAACTCCTCGTTGTCACTAGCTAAATTAACTGGAAATATTCGCTCCCCACTGGACTTTGTTTTCATATTTTCATACTTTGTCACAAACCAATCCTCACTGTGATCCCAACGGATGAGTGAGCTGATGCTGGGCGTGGACCGCGACACGGGGAAGTCAGTTTTTGGGTACAAATTCGAAACCGGAACCATCAATCCATTTTGGTATGTTCTAAGAAAAAGCAAAAGAAAGGCAAATTAATAATAAATAATAATTATGAGCGTTCGCTCATATTCGCAACACATACTTTCCCAGTGCAGACAAAAAGAACAAGGCGTTGTTCTTGTTTCCCCTATTCGTGAGTGGAATGTGAACCCCACTGGGCATGGATCGCTTCAGAATAGCGCCCAGCAAGCCGTGCGGTGCAATTTCAATGGTCAAGGCATTTTTTGGGAGCATCGCAAATGTTTCTTCAAAGAGGACACTGCTCAGCAAATTATTAGTATGGTACTCAGCGGAGCACAGCTTGCGCTCAGCATGATCCCATTCGCTTTTGGGAACACTGGTGCTCAGCCACTTATCGGTTCTCACTTTGGGATGTGGCACAGTTTCCCTCATGTACTGAAGCAGTGGGGGCCCCATGTGGGCAATGTATTTTGAGTGGTAGGCGATGTTGGAGCAGGGCACTTCTTTAGCAAATATACTCTTCGATTTTAGTTCATCTACGAAACGAGTGACATCAGCGACTGGTCCGGAGATGGTACAACTGTCCGGACCATTGTGACAGGCCACTTCGATGGATTCGGGCAGCATGGGCTGAATTGACTTGTAGCCAATTCCGACTGCTGCCATGGAGCCCATAATTTTGTCCACATCCACACTTACTCTTCCGCGGTAATAGGCGGCTAGTATCATTTGCTGTGGGGTGAGACCACCGTCGGCATATGCGCAGCCCAGTTCACCCACAGAATGCCCGATAATGAAGTCCGGCTCCAAGTTTAGAGACCGCAAGACGTCAGTCAAACCGATTTGCACCGCCGCTATACCCACGAAGGAGTGCAAAATATTTTGGTAAGTTGTGGGATCGTTGCAAGTTAGGATGTGTATGAGGTCAACTCCTTTCGGTTTGAGAGTCTGATGGCATATTTCTATGGACTCGCGGAATCGGGGGATGACCATAAGCGACGCACCCATTTCGGGCCACTGCGAGCCCATTCCACTATACACCCACACTATGGGCCGCTGGAGACCAGTGTAGTGTTGGACATCTCTGGCTAATGCTTTTGCAGGAGCTTCCCCTTGCTTGTCAAAAATTGCGTAGCCACGGAAGACCATGCCAGATACGTCGCTCTCTTGAATGTTCTGAAGTAATCCAATAAATTCCGCATCCAACGGTTTTTTCTCCACAGCATTGAAAATCTCATTGACTGCCTCCTCTGTTCTTCCTGCCCAGGTGAGAATTCGTGGGATATCATCGTCTGGTAGGCCAAAATTAGCCTTTGACTTCGGATAAGCTTTTAAAAGGGCGTGAGCATTCGCCCCACCAAATCCGAAGGAGTTTATGCCGATACATGGTTTTGGGAGTGGGGTGACGTCTTTAACTACAATCAATCGTCCCTCGGCCAAGGGTGCAATTACAGATTTCACTTCGGTAAAGTTGATATTTGGTGCTATGAAACCAGTTTCAAAGGCAAAACAGGCTTTTACCAGCGAACAGATACCTGAAGCTGCTTCCGAATGGCCAACATTTGATTTGACGGATCCAACCAATAAAGGCTCTTGTCTGTGGCTACAAAGAACATTGTCAATCGCTTTGCACTCCTCTGGATCCCCCACCACAGTCCCTGTGCTGTGAGCCTCCAAATAGCCCAAGTCGTTTGGTGTAACGTCAATCTCCTTGTAGAATTCGTCGAGCAATTTTTCCTGCACTTTGCCCGACGGATATGTAATACCCTCTGGTTTGTATCCATCACAGTTCGTTTTTGAATAAATTACACTTGCATAAACACGTTTAGCATCTCGCTTCCGTTGCAGAAAAAGGCAGTTAATGGTTTCCGATCGTGTGTAACCGCTAGCATCTTTGTCAAAAGGACGACAATAGCCGTCTGGGGCCAGCACACCAAGTCTGAAATATCTCATTGTTATCTACGTTGAATCCCAGCACTTGCTCTTTCTTACTCACCTCGCAAACTGAAGGGTTACAAAAGGATGAAGAAGTAAGTTCGATCCGCCTATGATGGCAGCATCAATTTCTCCGTTTCTAATGGCGCTAAAAGCGTTGTCCAATGCGTACATGGAACTGGAACAAGCTGTATCCAGTAAAAACGAAGGACCTTCCAGTCCCAGGGAGTACGAAATCCTGTTGGCCATCATAGCCCGACTGCAGCCAGTTATTCCAAAGCCGCCAGATGAAACCTTTTCGTAAAACCAGGTTTTCTCCGATTCAGATATACAGGATCCAACGAAAACTCCAGTTTTTGAGCCACGTAGACTCTTAGGGTTAATGCCTGCATCTATGACGGCTTCGTACGCAGTTTCGATGAGAATACGTGTTTGGGGGTCCATTGTATGGGCTTGCTTAAAGTGCACTCCAAAGAAAGTAGCATCAAACTTTTCGATGTCAGAGATTTTTCCTGAACGTTTTGGTATTTCCGGATTAAAGTGACGCCAACGACGCTCATCGTCGTCCACCATATCAATCTAAAATATAGACATAATTGCTAATACATACACATACATATATATATGGAGTAAAATCAAATTATACGCCTTTGGGATTCCCGAATCTCGGATGGCGGATAATTTATTAAATCAATTTGAAATCAATTTCATATATTTTCTCCGTTCTCCGTACAGATATACTGTCTGAGTAACAATTATACAAGTTGTGAAGCATAAAAAGCGTCTCACCCGTCCCTTCTCTTATTATTTTAAATGTTTCACTTGAGCACAATGTAACACCATTTTGCAAGAAAATAAAAAGAGACCTCATACGATACATATGTAAGGAGGAGAATCTATGTATATTATTGTTATATGTAGCATATATTTTCGGGTCACTTTTTTATAAATGAAATATTTTTATATGGGTGGGTCCCAACCTTGTTATAAAGCTTGTATTCATATTCCGATATGTTGCGACAGTTTGGAAATTTTCCTGCCATCCCGGAGATCACTATATCATCGCCGTCTGAATCAGGACGGATTCTGGAATATTTCTTCTCATTTCTTTCAGTAGACATATTTTTTGTTTTGTATTTCACTTCTTTCAGTAATTTTTTTTCTCAGAAATTCTTTCACTTTACTCTACCACCAAATTAGGAATATATTATCTTTAGCTTCCGTCAGCTTAATAGTAGAACAAAAAGGTATTGTCGGATTGCGAAACAAATTGCAACTAGGCTCCCGATATGCCCCATCGTCTTTTATACGTACTCGCGATATAGTCTTTCCCATTACAAATTCCAAAAGAAATAAATGGTAAATAATTTGACCACAAACACACCAAAGTAATTAAAGTCGATGAATTGTATAAGTAGGCAGTTCATTTTCTCGTGTACCGGGATTGCAAGGGCTGGATAATTTAAATTTCAGGAACGACTAATTAACAAATCATGCCTACGCCAACCTTGAGTTAGTCGTAGTGTTAAATCGATTAATATCGTAAATTGACCATCTAGATCCCAAAAAGCTAACGCAAAGCTCCCGAACACAAATTTATTTATTACCACTTACATATGTACATATGTATGTATGTACATAAACATATATGTATGTGTATGTATGTATGTTATTGAAGAATAAAAAATTAAAGTAACATTTGTACTATTTGCTAATATTTAACTATAGAGCTGAACAATACACAATATAGATTTTTCATTCTTTAGTTATACAAAGTGAAAGTAGTTAAAAGCAAATTTAATTATGAAGTCGTTGCCATTGGATTATTTAGCAAACGAACAATGCACCCAACTGGAAATAGATTGTAAGTACATTGTAAAACAATACTTCCACTAGCCATGTTAATGAACTTCAAAGCGTATTGCTAAATGTTAATGAACTGCTAAATGCAAATCAATAGGCCGTTGATTGAACTTGCTTGATAGCACACACATACATATGTACATATATAAATGTACATACAAATCTATATGTAATCTGATTGTATCATACATATGTACATTTAAATGTTTCTATTTACGAGTGTGTGGGCATAATTAGCGTGTGTGACAAAAGCAATCAAGTGGTAATGATTTTTTCGTAAAAAAAAAGAGCCGCTTTGCTTCCTTAAAAATCACGTTCACATCAAGCGACATACATATATACATATGTACATCTGTAGTTCCTTATGCAAGATGATAACTACGAAAATCATTGGTATAATTGGAATAAGGAAACAAGTAAACATCTCTACAAATGTACATACATATGTATATAGGTGATTCCATAGAGGTGCAATGAACCCACGAGGTACAAGCAGAAAGAAGTGGGAGGCTATCTAGAGCCGATTCACTATCGTGAATCATGTAGCCTATGATGTTACGGAGATCCATTCATTTTTAAAAGATACATATAAAAATGGGACACATTTAATATACTCGCATTTATTTTATTCTATGTCTTTACTACAATTTTAATTGTATACCTTTTTCTATCACATACTCGTAAACACTCTTTTGATCGTATTATATATTTGTGGCAGTGAATCTTGGTGTAAACAGTGAATAAATATAAATACATGTGTACGTAGTACATAGATGCAAGCACATCTATTTTCTTATGAAAGATAATAACTACAGCAATCATTGGTAGAATTGGTATAACGAAAATAATAAACAGAATACAGAATACAAGGAGAATAGGAGTTCCCTATAAATAATTTTTGCATTGCGTATTGTCGTTCATACATTCATATGATTGTAAATAATAATGAGAATATATCACTTACTGCTCAGTTCAATTTTAAAGCGATTAAAAATAGTATATCTTGTTTTGAGTTAGTTATGGAATATCAAAAGGTGATGGTGAAGGGGTTTGGAAACCAATTACTTGCTCAATTCTCAATGCAGTGAAATTGCTATGCTTTCTAGGCTACGCTTGAGGCATTGGCTGACAATTCTCGTATCCTTCCATCTCGTTTTGTCCGCGGTGGGGGAACGGGCGGATTGTCCACCTTAACACCTTTGAAGTTTTTGGCAACCTTAGATCCAAAGCCAAGCGATTCAAAGGGTTTAAAGATGCGGCTGTGGACAGCATTTTCCAAAGCCGCATTAGTTTTGTTATTATTTCTAAGCTTCTGCGAAACAGAGTTCCTACACTCCTTGAAATTACAAAATGTACGTCTAAAAAAGTACCAAATTGCAAAGGCACAAACAACTACTACCAGACTAATTAATAGCACTAATAAATGGGAATAATTAAATTCAGTCTCTTCTGAATCATATTCATTTGTCGTTGGCCGTTTCGTACTAGATCGTGTCAAAGTTGGGTACACAGGCCGAATAGGAGTCCGCATAGGAGGTCGCGCATCTAGGGTTATAGCGATATCTGAACACGAACGAAACTCCTCCTGGGGACCGCAACCAACTGCACCATTACCATCGTTGCACATGCCCCAATTGTTCCCAGCAACGTACCGCCACTGCAGCACACATTGAGTACATGTCAATTCTGTGGGCAAAAATTATGTTTTTTATTATTGTACGGGTAATAAGTGTTTAAAAAACTTTACCAGGTAAGCGTGCTTTGATTTCATATATGCGACTTCCATTTCGAGGATAGAAGCGGGTGTCCATATCTGCAGGACTAGGCTGCGCGGGTGATCCACCAAGTATGTGGAGGATATTTTTATCAAGGCATGCCTGCTTGGCACCCGGTTTATCACATAACCGAAACTCGAAATACCTAGAGAAGAAACCAAACAAATATGATATTCCACACTTGTAAAAGTAGTCCACGTCTATCGTACCCCATGTGGCTGGCAGTTAATTCCACACGAATTGTCATCTCGGAGGCTGGCAAATAGGTTCGCACAATCACGCCTTGCCCCCACTGTCCACCGTTTTCATGAGGCCGCGGCTCCGGCATGTCCCACGCGTCTCCACATTCACCACACTTTCCACCATTTCTCTTCCATTGTCGAGTAAAACCACCGCAATAAAGTTCATGGTCATTGTAGTCTGGCGGCGTCTGAAATCCATAACGCCACGCCGATGCTCTGCTTGGCGGTTCGATTAGCCTTCCGTGACCATCGCAGGAACGAATACACAATAATGGAGCATAGAGTAGTATGGCCCAAAGATTAGACCGAGGCGATCGTGGCATTTCCTGTAAAAGTATAAAATACTTACATAAACATATTTAGATCAAAATAAAGCCATACAATTGTCATTGGTAATGTATGTACATATGTATGTCTAGTTTAAAACCATTGTAAGGGTTCACTCAACAATCGCTAAAAAATAGGAATAAAAATAAAATATGTAGAATGTATAAGAGAAGTTATGAACTCCTCGCTTCAGGAAATACTAGGAACAGTGCTAAAGCTTGTCTCAAGCTCAAAGCTTTTAATTTCCTTGAGAATGTATCTTTACCATGTAATCAATTACTTGACCAACAATTAACATGCTCTGAGTTTTGTTAGTGTTGACAGATCATCATCAATTTTTGTATGTGATGTAGATGCTACAGAAGATGCATACATACATTTACATATGTATGAATTTTCATGCTTATGTTTGAATTTCATAATTCGGATATGATTTCTTCGGTGCATTACAATCACCTGGCCGAAATCAAACGAATTTCCGCTTTTATACTTAATCATCAATATCAGTTCAACACGCGAGAATACTTCCCCTCCCGAAAGAATGAAAGAACTGGTTTCGGAAGTGTTAAATTATTGCCATCGACTCCACTTTTAGCATGCACGAAATCACGTCTTTTTGTTGTCCACATTTACATAAGAGTTCATAAAACAAATAAGAACGCGCTCATAATGAGGCGTCACGATATGGAAAGTTATGGTAATTAGGTGGATTTGGAAATACTACACCCATGTAAGTACATATGTATATAAAATCCGCAAAATGCTGTGTCTGGTTTCTTTAAACCCCTTTGTCTTACAACTCTTTCTTCATTTTGTCGTGCGAACATTTTAACACAAACCTAATATGTTGATTTTATTTATTTTTGTGTTAAGAGATACCCGTTTTGCCACTGAGAACTTCATTTATTTTTGGACAACAAAAATTCAATCCAATATCAGAACTTGTTTCTTTCATTGTGTATACGAGAGATATTCGGATCATTTCCAACAAGATCTGACAACGGAATTCTAAAATGAATTCTCTTCCCATTTTTACTTTCACCCATGCATCAAAATAAAAAAAAAAAAACAATGTGGACAGACAGCACTCGATCACTAACCCGAAAAAGTTTTACTAATTTGATTTCATACATACTATATGTTTAAACTTCAATGAGGAAAACTTGAGATAAAATATGAATATTTAAACTATATTTTCCCTTATTCTTGATACAATATTGCCTCAAACCGCAAAGCGTTTCACTAATCTTTAACTCGCTTCACAAAAATACGCAGCGGCCGACTTTCCCGTTACCGACTGAATACTGAAATACAGTCAACAAGCAAGTTTCTTACCGCTGTCTTTTTCGGCTCTTCGTTTGAAGCGAAGCGTAGATACGAAGATGTGTAAAAGATGTCTTCTTCTTATCCGACAACATTGTATACTTAATACCATTTGAGTGCAGGTACCAACATCTGCTAAATCTAAGCGAACACTTTCAACGAAACTGGGTAATATCTAAAAAAGAAAATAGCATGAAGCTTAAGAATAAATTACATAGTATGTTAAAATAATAATAATACTAGGAAAATCATTTCGAACATAGCTAACACTGAGACTGGCATAAGTTTGTCTTTGTTTTTCAGAAGTTATCATTAAATTCGACTTCTCCGCAAACTTGTTATCATTTCAAGAAACTGGTTTGGAGAAATTTCTCTCGGCACTGATGAGTAGTGTGCGGAGTGTGGACTTGTCGTTGGCCTGAACTTCGTAGGAGTTTCAAAACGAATTGTGCCTGCCTGACACATTGGGACTGGTCATGGTTGGGAACGCAAGTGATGATATAAACCAACATGCATCCATGGGGAAGGTTTTTATTTTTGTTACATACTCGTATGTATGTACATATGTACGTATGTGTGTATGTAGGAAAGGTTCAGACTAGAGATGTGCGCGGGCAACATTTTCCAACATGCCCTAAATCGAGCAGCGCAAAGACCAGAACGGATTGTCATCATTTTTCATACAAAAAATACATTTTGTTCCTAGGAAATTCGCAGTGCAGAGAAGTATTTTTTGCATTAATCAAATGGGCTGGCGTCAATCACTGAAAGGATATACTCGTATGTATGTAGATATGGCTATAGTTAAAATATGTATGGGAAAATCACTTTGTGTTTTATTTATTTCCTTATTGAAGCAGGAGCTGGTTTATATTTACCTCTTTTCTGTTGTACTTTTGACGAGATTTTATCAGGTTTTGAAAAATCTTTAGCTATTTATTAAGCTACTTACATTTTTTTAATTGCTTAGAAAACATCTCCTCCGATCCTTTTTTCAGTGGAGATAAGTATGTCGATAAATTCCGGAGATTCGCGGAGATATGTACATATGTATGTATGTACATTTTTATGACGCTAAACTCCTCGAGGAATTACATACATACATATGTCGTTTTGGAAACGTCGTTTTTGAATAAGCGTTGAAAACTTCGTTTTTTGGAAACGACATATGTACTTATGTATCTCCTACCAAATTTTCACTGCATATCTCCTCACGGTGCTTAGCGTCAAATCCCCACGCGGAGATACATACATATGTACATATGTCGTTTCTTAAACGGTACCCGGTACCCGAATATGTTAGATTTATGTTCGAAGTATGTACTTAGCACACAGAAGAAAAAGTTTCCAATCCATTTCTATCAGATTGGCGAATTAGAATCAGAACGGTTAGCCACTGCAAAATAATTGCTTGTTTTTCCTCAGGGAACCAAACCGACTTTTTGATGATTTCGGAAATCAAATAGTTCATATCATTTTTTTTATATCCGGTACTCGAAGAGTAAATAGGGTTATTGTATTTGTGCGATTAACGGTTGTATGTAACGCACAGAAGGAAGCTTTTCCGACCCCATAAAGTATATATTCTTGATCAGCATCAATAACCGAGTCGTAGAGCCATGACTGTCTGTCCGTCTTGTTTGTCGGCTAGTTCCCAGAGACTATAAGAGCTACAGCCACCAAATTTTGCACTCAGACTACTGTATTCTCACACTGAAACCAGTGTACATATTTAAAAAATGAGACACCCCCCCCCCCTCCCCTCCCTTCAGCCATTACAAAAGGGCGAAAACCTACTAAAGCTACATTTTTGAAGATAAAAGAAAACTAAAAACGCCATTCCGTAGGGAATGACCATATCTATCAGATCACCAGTGGCTAAACCCACCCCGTCCCACAGTTTATGTTTTTTTTTTCACACTCTCTCATTCACACTCTGCTTCGCACAGTGTGCGGCCTCTGCCTCTGAGACGTCTCTGACTCTGCCTCTGCCCTGACTCTGCAGTGTGTGTCTCTATGGGAGGGTGGCGAGCTAAATGAACTTGTTGGCGCTAGTAGTGTTGTTGATGTAGATGACAGATGAAAAAAAATTTAAAAGTTGACAAAACACCTCTAAGGTGCAGATGTAGTACTGAGTGCCGGGTATACAATTTGTGACGCGTAAGAAGCGTCACACGTCCCTTCTCGTTTGTTAATGCCTTTTTTGGAGGCAGCGGTACGATTTTGTAGATAACTTAAGTATCTTCGATTTGTTTGTAAAGAACATTGCCAGTCTAAAAAGCTAGTTGACGCAGCTAAAAAATCACCCAAACACTTAGTTGTTTTAGTTATAAAGTTATACTAGTTATAGTTTAGTTATACTTATAAAGCTATTAAATGCAAAAATTATGATTTTTGTGTGTAAAAACTCAGGAAAAGTATAAAACTAAATTAAATCTTGTTTCCCTATTATTTTGTGTACAGATGCATTATTTGGCGTCGTTTAAGGGATTGCTCATAAAAATCTATGGAGAGTCGGCTGCGCTAGGAAAAAACCATAATTCAAAACAAACGAGAAAGGATGTGTGAGACGCTTCTTACGCGTCACATCTTTTATACCCGGTACTCAGTACTACATCTGTACCTTAGCGGTTTTTTTTTTAATTTTACACTTTTTTTTGCATCTGTCATCTACATCAACACTTCTCACGCAAAAAATAAAAGTTTCTGGAAAGGATGGGTTTTGCCACTGAAAATCAATTTCTTCATTCTGTCTTTAATATTGATCCAATCTGACCCCAATTCGGTCCTCCCCTACCGAAAGGCGTTTTTTATTTTCTTTTATCTTCAGAATTGTGGCTGTGGGAGATTTTCGACATATGTGAAGGCGGAAGCGGGCGCGGCGAAATTTTTAATTACGCTTGTAACAGTGTGAGCATACAGCCATCCGGATGCAAAATTGGGTGGCTCTAGCTTTTATAGTCTCTGAGATCCAGTCGCTCAGACTGCTTTTTCAGATGGGCTTTTCTATCGACAGAAATCAACATAAGATAAAAGAACAGAGCATACTCTACAGTTAGACTCTTTTGTGTTTGCATACAAAATAAAAACTGTTAAAAATTCAAATTCTGTATTAAAGCAAGCATATACATATATATTATTTGTGGGTCCTGTGGGTCTCAGGACTACAGCGTACAAACAATTTTTGGATAAGGGCATTTCTGCGAGACAGATATGCAAGAGCAATGTTTTTTTATCACCTTTCAAGGCGATAAAATAATCATTTTATTAAAATTGGCTTTAGTATTACTCCTTTTTCCTTCTATAGCCTTCCATCGGAATACAATTTAAGAGAACAGTTTTCATTCATTTTAAGCACATTGTGAAGTGACAAGCAGTTATTTTAGTTCAAGGCAAACCGAAATCTGTTTGAAGATTACCCGCATTGTTAATGTTAGTGTGGCCAAATAAAATAATCATCGATATCAATGCATCGGTAAACATTTGGCGCATTTGATATAAATATTGCTTTATTTCTTTGTTCTACGTTTTATGAATATGAGAAATATCGTATGAAATATTATCTTCATATGATAGATATCCCACAATCCATATTATATATCACCAACAATTGTATAAACCACAGAAATGAATCGATATATTTATTTTTATCATTTGTATCATCCCTATTGTTTTTCAAACACAATTTCATAATACATATTTTCAGATCATATACAACAATGGCAGACAGGCTGACGCAGCTGCAGGATACCGTGAACCAAGTATGTTTTAGTTATGTTGTGCGAAGACTGTTTTTTAATAGATCATATCATGTTTACTTGTCCGTACAGCAAGCCGAGCATTTCTGCAACGCCATAGGTATAATACAACAGACTTCTTATCCCAGTAAATTTGCAAATTTCGACCGCACCGGATCACAAACGCCCAATCCAAGTCAACCCCAGGAGGACTATGCTCAGCTATTCGCACAGCTAATTGCACGATGCGCCAAGGATATTGACACATTGATTGAGTCGTTGCCAAACGAAGACAGCTCGATTGAACTCCAAAACTCGAGTCTGAAACGGCTAGAAATTGAAAATCAAGAAACCGCACTGGACCTAGAGGAAGTTGTTCAGAAAGGAGAGCTTTTGCTTGAAAAAATTCAGTCTGCACTAGAAAACATCGCTCAAGCCCAGTTGGATATGCAAATAACACTAAAGGCCAGTTTGCAATGAAAATTAATTAAAATGATACAAAATATCTGAAAATCGTTTTTTGCTTTGCATATGCGTTTAATAAATCCACATAACAGCATAACCACCTTGAAAGCTTATCGCTTGTGAACTGTATAGGTATAGTACGAATACTAAGGATGACGAGCTCATTTCGGCGATGTATTTACAATGCAGGACTTAACGTATTTCTTAGTTTATTACTTAATAATATAAAGATTGATTTATAGTTGTAACATTTTAGGGACAGGAAACTCACCAAGGGAAAATTAAAATATAAATAAAAACAAAGCCAACAAACAAGTCAAGATAGAACTAATTTGTTGTAGTGCTTTAAAATCGGTATCTAAATGTCTACTTCAGATGTCTACTGTGTAGGTATGTATTTACATACATATACATCTATTTCGGATATTGAATATCAACTTAATTTACATTTGTGATAGAATCCAACGTAGACTCTTGTGAAGCCTTACATAATGTACATATGTACACACGTACATATGTAACATTCAGTTGAGCGTTCCCCTGCATCCTTGAGCTCCACACAGACATGGAATTTTTTCCTCCTCCAAAGGAAATTTATAATCGTAGGTTATTTCCTCATTGACGCCAATAGGTTGCTTTGAATATATGACTATCTTTTTCTCAGACTCTATTGTAATGACTTTTGCATAGCAGTTCGGCTGCAATGAGAAGGAGGAGAAATTTTGTATATAATATAATTTGTTATAGTATGTATTTTGTATTCGTACTTACATTGCAGCTGTGGTTTATAAATCGGGCTAAATTTCCACATTTCGTTGCATCGATAATGGTTTCCATGTCGATTCGAAATAGGTAGGAACTGCCAATTCCAATTGCCTCATATTTGGTCTCTCTTAAATCGGCCACGACAGGCCGAATCATTTGTCCTACATATTCAATTACCATTTCGTCTGCTGCTATGGGCTCCATCGCAAATAGTCCCCAATCGTGAATGGCAGACTTTGCAAATTTAAGTTGTTTCTTTCGGAACTTGAGCTGGTTAAATTTCAAAAGCTCTGACTCGCCCATAGATCCGAAGGCTGTCAAAAGACGCCGCTGGTTGGAGCGCGCCTCTCGCGAAATGCCTTGCATTTTGGATATTAATTTGTTATGGTGGTGATTCGTGAGTGCTGTGGGCTCGTCACAACGATCTTCGTTCTCGGCATCATCAATGTTGGCCTTAGCATGGTGATACTTGTGCTTTGCCTTTTCTCGCACATCTAACTTGTAGTAGCCTTCGGTGCGAGCACATCCCGTCTTATGGCGCAACAATTCGTCATCTTTTCTGCGTTTCTTTGGAGGCGGTGGCCAAAACGCACGGTCCGTTGTGCAATGATCTACCCAATGAGTGTTGTTCAAGAACATGCTGGGAAAAGAAGAGATTGCCGATTAACCAAATTATACCTGAGCGAAATAAATTAAATAACTTACGCATATGGCTCCTTCTGCAAATGCTCAATGTAGCTCATCTTAATATACTTGATATCTTCCGCGTCGATACCTTTCGTTAAAAAAGTGTAGAGAATAACCATTTCCTCGTTTTGGTCGCGACCTTTGTACATCTCGTAGGGAACGAAGTTAGCAGTTTGACGGGCCAGCTCGGCCAACGCATCAGTGATGGGCGCTACTTTGTTCTTGGCATTTGACTGCCGAGGCACGGAGTCCTTCTTTTTCTTTTGCAGCCGAGTTGAATCCTTGCGTGGTCTGCCTGGGCCTGGTCTTGACATTTGGCTACCACTAGCCATATTCTCCTGTCCTTCAAATCTATTTTTATTCTGTGCATCAAGCCCAAACCGTCCCGAGGTGGAGTCTGTCATGGAAGCAGACTGCGCATGCGGCGGCAAGGAGTAGCAGTGCTCGAGAGCCACTTGGCTTGCTTGCGATGCTAGGCTGGAGCCTCCATCTGAAGAAGCCGGTGATTGCGTTCCCTTCTTACTGTCGCTTATATTGGAGCTCGATTTATTTTCTCCGTTTAGAATCGTTTGTGCCTCAACCCCCCCATCTGTGCTTTTGAGATTACTATTTAGTTCTGCGTTCTTGCATGCGTATTTTTCGATAATGGTCTCCTCAATCGGTTTAATAATCTCATCAACAAGTTCAGCAAGAATATTAATGCCTGGCGTTAGTGGGACCTCTGCCACATCTACAGTTTCAGCCATATCTCCACTAGGTTTATTTATAATTTCTAATTTACGCTCCGACATTGAACGACTTTCCGAGAAAGAGTTTTTCTTATTCTTCTGCTGTTCTTCCAAAAACTCGCGCTCTATCTGAGCCATGTACTCGGTATTTCTACGTCTCTTTTCCTGGTACTCGCGCTCTTCATCCGAGTCGCTGTAAATGCGATCGTATTCAAAAACTGGCTTTCGGGGATCAATATCATCGAACTTTTCCACCGGCTCTTCATTGTAGTCTGGCGGCGGAACAGGGGTCAAAGATCGACGAGATTCATCAACCATTTTTCGGATAGTCTTAAGTTCTGCTTCTACTTTGTCATCCAAATTGTCCTCTTCCTCCAATCCGAAACTGCTATCTTTGCTTATGTCCTCAAGATCAGACGGTATAGTAGAAATTACCTTTGTTCGCAGCGCCGGCAAAAAATCTCTACCGGCAGTACTTTCTAACTCTGCATCCGAGTCGGAGTAGATATTTTTCTTTTTCGTTCGACCCCGTTTTTGAACATGCATTCGATCGATGGCTCTTTTGTCGTCCTCAGAGTCTGAATATATGTTTTCAATATTATCATCTACAGGTTCCTTGAATGCCACACGCCTTTTCTTCTTAATTAGTCTGCTCTTTCGATTGTGACTTCTAGGCGGGTGATCATCGTCAAAGCTATCCTCCTCGCTGCTTTTTTCCTTTTCTGTTCCATCGACAGCGTCGTTGCCTTCATTTTCTACTTCGCTAGAACATGATGAGGATGAGGAAAAGAAGCTCGACGCGCTTCCCTTCCGTTTTGAATGTATTTCAGGTGACAGTCGATTAGTCGCAATTTCCCTATCCAAAACCCGTTCCTTCGCGATGGAGCCTGGTGCCTCAAAGACGCCCATATTCGAGTCCTCTTTCTCAGAGTCGGAGCGTTGTACCATCTCTTCTTGGTCGCTCAAATCTGTTTCGAGGGATATCCTTTGATGGGGTATAGGACTCGGATGTTTGCAAATGCGTCGAAACGATGGCAATTTAGGCATAGCAGCCCGTATACCAATGCTAGAGAAGCTTTGAAAATCAGACATATCCACTTGAGTATTGGTAAGTTGATTAATGCTGGGCGGCTTCTCACTGTCAGCACAATCCTTCATCGTAATGGCATTGGCGTTACTCTGCCTCAATGTGGTTGTGCCCTGCACTGAGTCCGTCAGCGGTTTGGAGCGTGCCTTCAATGTGTGTTCATCCCACCAGGATTCAAAGTTTTTAAAGGCGGTTATCTCAATCATACGCTTGTTCACATCGCGCTTTAGGATCTGCTTCAGCTCCTCTACAATGTAGTTAATTACCTTTTTAACATTCTCTTTTATCTCGTCGTTCTGATCCGAGGGGGGGCACTGGTATCCATATGTCTGCGCATAGGGATCCAAGTTGAAAGCGCCAACACCAGACAAGTAGGCCGGCTGCATATAGGCAGGATTTGAAAAGTAGCGACTTGTCAGCACGGTGTTTGCCGGGATTCCAGAGGGATAATGCCCATAGTCCGAAGGTTGATAATAGTAGGGATGCTGGTTGGACGAATTGGGATATATATATGGTGATATTGGTTTCTTATTTGCCCGGTCGACTATATTGGGTAATGCATGTTGGGATTCCTCGTGAGAAGACAAACTCGACAGAGACATGTTGTCATCATCCTTTTCACATTGTGTTAAACTCCGTTTTAATCTCTTTTTCTTCATTATTAAATCGTCATCGCTTGAAATATCGCTTGCCCCATGCGCCTGTTGCACTTCTGATATCTTCTTGTCGCTCTTTTTCTTGTTATCCGAATTATTGGAATCGGAGAGCGAGCGAGTTTCATTAGCATCAACCGCTCCCTCGGGCTTTGCCCTATCCGTTTCAGAGTCGCTGCTGTCCATCTGAAGAAATGGGGGCGCATTTCCGAATGTCTTTCCCTTAAATATTAAGGCTATTCGAGTGTCCAAGTCAACATTTTCTGTTTCTGCGGTTGCGTCTGCTGTTGCAGTCTTCCCCGTCTTGGGGGATTGGGATTTTGTGCTCGTTGATTCCAAGAGTGAAACAGTTTGTTTTTCAAACTTTTGTGGGGGAGCTGGGGGCTCGTCCCAATTTTCCACTTCTTCAGGAGGAGGAGGTGGGGGTGGTTTTGGCTTTGGTTGAAAATCAGGCTGCGGAGCATTCCAACTCTTATGCTCTGACCAGGACTGAGTACTGTCTGTCATGGAGTAGGAGTGACTGCTGTAGACATAGTTCCCAGCAGGCAAGCCAGATGCTGGGACGGCAGTATAATATTGATGGTTTTTTGATGACGAAGAGCTGTTTATATCCGTTTCTGTGTATTCGTGACTTGTAAAACGCTTTTTATACTTTATACTAACACGATCTCTTCGATCTCTGTCGAGTGATCGATCCCTATCCCGATCACGATCCCGCTCTCGGTAGTCTCGCTCCTTTGATACACTGAAACGAAGATCTCTCTTTTCTCTTGAACGGTCACGGGAGTGGTCGCGGGATCTATTTCGTTCTCGAAAATGATCGCGTTCCTTTGAACGGTGATAGTTACGCGACCTGGCGTCCGGGTCTCTAGCCCTATCACGTTCTCGGCCAGCGAACAATCTATCCCGACTATCTCGACCATCCCGACCGGGGTCTTGACTTTTGTCTCGAGACCGCCGGCGATAAAAAGGCCGATCATGGCGTAATGAGGATCCGTATTTGTCACGCATTGACCGATCACGATCATAGCTTCTCTCTGCGGAATGTTGACTGCTATCCTTGTAGAATCGATCGCGATCCCGATCCCGCTCTCGATCTCGGTCACGATCAAGCTCTCGCTCACGATCAAGCTCTCGCTCACGATCCCGCTCCCAGTTGCGATCCCTGCTTCGTTCTCCAATGTCAGAAGTCTTTATAAAAGAGCTGTATGCACTATTTGAGTGATCCACAGAGTTCTTCTCGCTGTAGTCGTGGCTACAGTCGGCCAACTCGGGCTGGGAACCCTGTGTTACGGGCTGATGCGGTGGCGCTTTCGTGGTGGTGGCACCCAACACAGGCTTCGGCACAACTGGATTCGTTAAAGTCTCAATATGTTTCCTTAAAGTCGCACCAAACGGATCGCAGAACACATTTAAGATCTGAAACAAATAGGTAAATTTACAAATAAGTCAAATAAAAAAGAAGAACGAAAAAACATCCTCCATACCTTTCCCATCACCGACTTTTGATTATATTTCTCAACGAACTGCCGCGCACCCTTGGTGCTCTCAAACACAATGCGAGCAATGCCCAAATGCTTGTTTGTTGTGGGATGATGGTATATGTTGATTTCGTCTGATGTTCCACACTTGTCCAACAGGCTGGAGAGAAACTGCTTATCGATGTTGTCGTTTAGGTTCACTACAGTAACTTCAATCGCAGGTGGCGTTCCGACGTAGTCGGCATCGATCACAAATCTGTTCATAAAAAATGCTTAGTTTCTTAGTTTCTTCTCTCCTCTGAGCCTGGGAAATTTCCAAAACTTACCTGGGTATAAGCAACAGCAGGGGCTCTATAGGTCTGGTGCGAATGCGAATAAGAGGGTTGCGTGGATCCCTGGGTGTTATGGTTGGATATATAGGATCGCCCGGTACGACGCCATCGTAGCGATATAATTTGGCGCCACATTTAACAAGCTGCGGATCAGCCAGTAGCTTGAAATTTCGGTGCATTTTGGTTTGCGATATGGCCAGTGCATTGTTACTGCTGGCGTTGGAAGCGTTTATGTCGCGGTCGTTCTGCATGTGCATCAAAAAGTGCGTATGGTCACCCGAAGATTCAGAGCCGTTCATTAGCGACCGCGCGCTTTCAGACATAGTCCGTAAATATCCGTTCCCGTTGCCGGACCCGCTGTCGTCTGATTTCATGGACATAGCCGCTTGCCACGTTCATAGAACCTTCCTAAAATTGTATCCGATACTTTTAGCAGAGTAAACACGTAACATCTCCGTTAATAATCCAATGTTATGTTTGTTTTCAAGAAGAATAAGTTTACATTAGTGTAACATAAAAACATACCACACAAATGTATCTGATCCGTGGATTGCCTCAGCTGAGAACGCGGCAGGCGCCAGCGTTACTTTCCTACGTGCTCTCGGCTTCAGTTCGTGTCTGTAAAATTATAAAAAGGGTGAATAGCAGACTCGACAGTGTTAATTTGTTTTTTTTCATTCAAATAGCTCTTTGTGTTTTGTGAAGATATAAGGCATAGTAGATCCTGCTTCTTTACTTGGTTCTCAATCGGTTAAGCAATTGTGAAAATCCTTAGGCAGGCACAATACTCAAAATATAAAATGCGAAGCAAAAATACACAGAAAACGAGGCCTCGAACTCGTAGGGATGCAACTGCGTATCTATCGATGAATGTTAGTCACAAATTACATTTCACGGCACTACACTATACTTGAAGACTGTGAGCGCTGATATAAAACCTTCATTTGACCACTTTTAACAATTTAAATACATTCATGCCATACGCTATCTCTAGTGTTACGGTGTGTATAATTATACGTAGACCTTCTAATCTAACTTACAATGTCTTGGAATATCTAGTTTTACTATTATTTACTTTCGATACAAACTATCAAGTAGTTGTCAAATTGTATAGAATTAATAGCCTATTCCCACTGGAGACTGCACTATTTATTTCTGGGATCGTCTGTCAGGTTCTGCTGCTCAAAAAATGTTCAATATATAGTTTACAGTTATTCCGGGGGCTAAGAGTGAAAAATGGAAGAAACAACTGTGCGCAAAAACGTAAAGGTGAGTCGAAATAGATCGTCGGAATCAATAAATACTTCTTCCATGACATAATTGAAAATTTAATCTTTCCTACAATATTGGAAGCTTTGTAAACCGTATGTTATGCATATTGCATTATTGGTAAATCCTAAATGCATTCTCAGTTCAACTACCAGCTAATATTTTACTTTTTATTTTCATTTCAAATTTCAAACTGCCACTGCAGTACACATGTTTACAAAACACAGCTGATTTGTACGCTTGTGTTAGTTACGTTCCAAGCAAAAACGAAATATATAGCAAATTCTTGGCAAGAATATTTCACGGTGCTGGAGACAGGCATTTAATCCACCATCCTCATAAGCAATTGGCCACTTCAACTACTTAATTCATAATTAATGAGATACCATAATAATTTTTTATGAATTGAAGTTCTTATTCATTTTTCTTCATATTTAGTGCGTATTCTTATCGATATGTCTATCGATATACACAAAACACTAAAGCCCAGTACTCCGATGTGCTAAATTTTTTTGCGACAGAAAGTGCCATATATTTCGCTCTGTGACCAGTATGACCAAAGTGGGCAAAGACCATGCTCCCTGGGTAAACTGTTTTTTGTTTTGTTTACAAAATGAAATCCGATAAAGATTCATATTTCTTATGAGAGCAGGCAGGAGTGTGTTATTTCAGAGTGGATATGGAGCTTGCAGTACAACAATGCATGGAGAAAGCACTGCATTATTGGATAAGTCCGTTCCGACGGGACAGAAATGCAATAAACATGTGTTTTATAAGATAAGAATAAGATGAATATATTATAATACCCCCATAAACAGTTTTCGTTCAACTGCATAAATATGTTTATCCTAGTACTGTGCTTTACGCTTTTTTGGTTTACCTCTTTGGTTAGATTATTTATTTTTCTAAAAATCCAATACAAAATGTTTTGAAAAACTATTTATGATATTTTGGTGTTCAAAATTGTATCACAAAAAAGAAGCGAGCATTATATTTTTGGTGTCCGGCAAACATCTCTTTTTTGAGTTCCAAAATTTCAGTAATATATATTTTTTCTAATTTTTCCCCAACATAAACTGAAGTTCCTGGTCAATGCGGATTCATCGTCGCGCGACCATTAAATTTCGCTTTAGCGATTAACCAACAAATAAAATAGTGGAGAGAAGGAAGGGAAATTGCTGACCTTTCTCGTGACGGCAAGGCAGATCGAGAAGGCAAAAAGTACCGAACTTCCTTTAATGCCCCCACCCTTCTCGCACATGTGGAATGCTCCATAATAGTCCCCCTCTCAATAATTTATTAATATGTAGAAACAATTTGGTAATAACTTTTTAAAATATAGGATCAAATGATATACAATCGAACATAAAGGAATAAGAAGTTAAATTGATTCTTCAATCGGATTAAATAATTTTTTTTTTGTCTTAAAAGTCCTATTAAACAGAATAACAACATTAAAATATAATAGGAAATTGAGTTAATGTTTGTGGTATATTTACAGTATATTTATAAAATGAAAGGGTATATTTCGGTATATTTCCGAGGGTCTGTCGGTATATTTGATCGATAAATTCGCGGTCACATCGTGATTGCATCACAGCGTTGTAAAAAAGGTTTATATTAATAATTTGTGGGTAATTAGAGATTAGTAATTAGATTGTAAGTTCAGTGACTTTACTATTAGTGTGTTCTGTTACTTTTCTCGTTTTAATTTGATCTTCTTACTGTCATTCTTATGTGCCACTTACGTAAATATGAGCTACAAATACAATTTAATTTACAGACATATTTAACAATTGCAGCTTCAAATATGGCCTTTGCAAGTTTGTTTTCGATGCCCGTGGTTAAGGCCGACGATGAAGAGGAATTGGTTGATCCCCAAGCAGCCTTGAGGGTAAGAGTGATAATTTTAGCGGAGCAAATGCGATTGCATATATGTTATTATTAAACATTACATTAGGAAAAATGCCAATCGAAGGGTCATATTGAGTCCTTATACAATAAATACCAGGAGTGCAACGATCGTGTTAACGGGCGATCCAAGACCACGGAGACGTGCATGGAGGAGTTATTTGACTATGTTGCTGAACTGGATCATTGCGTTGCACACAGTCTGTTCTCAAAGCTTAAGTAATTTAACATGAATACAGCAAGATAAGCTTATTCTTTGAAAATATTTGTTAAAAAATGTGTAATTTAATAAACGAAAGTTGTGAATTCGTTGTTCTTGAGCCATTCTTCCCTATAGTTCTCTTACCTTTTTCTAAAACACTTTCATACATACATGTACATATGTATGTACCTGGATATATGCGACCCCCAAATAAATAGATCGCTACAGTTGTGAATTTTAATCTGGCTGGTTTGTACAAAAGTTAAGAATTGGAAAGACTAAATGGCTTGCCCGAGATTGGAATAACTGGACTTTTAGGAAGTCTCCTGTAACTTATCAGACTGTTAGACCCAACAACAGACAGCTTGGATGGCATGGATTTCCTCTTTCCGGCCTGTATTAAGTGGATAATATTCCCCTAGTTAAAAACTAATGAAGGGTGTCGAAAAAGTCCTGGTCCTAGTCACCCCTTGACAACAACGTGTACAGACCGAAGCATTTAATCTTCCATCTGGTCATTCTGTTGGGGTTCCATTTCTGGTGCACCTTTGTTCTTTTTAGGGCCTTTAGCGCAATGCATCCGAATCAAATAAAGCCGGTGAAATCGGTCTATCCTTTTCAATATTAACCGTAATACTTGAAATAACAACATGCATTTTTTTCACCGATGCCCTTTTCTTGGGTACATATCGTGGTCTCTGTTATGGTATCAAGTACAAGTCAACAAAAAATTCAATTTTGTTCTGCCATCAAACAGACAAAACTATAGATCATATATTTGGGCTAAAAATATTTTCAATGAATTATGGTAATGGTAATGATGTACATTGGGTTTCAGATTGCGATTTATTTAATGCCTCTATCAATAACTAATGTTTCTTAAACTTACTGTCTTGCGAAATAATATGCTTTCATTTATCATAATTATTCCGAAATTAGGATCTTTTAGTAAATTAATTATTATTATACTTGGAACTCGAAGAGTAAAATATGATAGTAAGATTGATAACGGCAGGCTGCAAGCAAAACAACGAGAGACGAAAAGCTAAGAAACTACCATCTGAGAGTGTAGAAATTTAAAAATCGAATGGTCACATGCATGAAGCAATTATATAAGGAGGTCCCGTCGTCGGCTGCGATCGTCGTGGCAATTCCCCTTAGAGTTCAGTAAATATAATATATTGTATTTTTGCTCAAATTTGGATGTATGTAACACACAGAAGCAAGCATTTCCGACCCAACAAAGAATATATATATTTGTTATAGCCATGTCTGTCTGTCCGTCCGTTTGTCTGTTTTGTAGAGCTCCAGGATCTCAGAGACTTTTAAAGCTAGAGCCACCAAATTTTGAATCCAGATGGCTGTATGCTCACACTGTTACAAGTGTATTTCAAAATTTCCCCGCCTTCTTCCACCACCACAAAGGGCGAAAATATGCTGTACCCACGATTTTGATTAAAGAAAACTAACGAGAAGGAACGCGTGAGACGCTTCTTACGCGTTACAACTTTCATACGCGGTACTCAGTAGGACATATTTACCTTATTGGTTTTTTTTTTTTAATTTTACAATTTAAGTTTTTTCTACATCTTACACGTTCCTTCTCGTTTTCTGTATGGGTCCAATCAGGGAATTGCTTCTAGTGGGGTGTTGTAGCCGGTAAGTTCATCTAGCCGATGGTTATTTTTGCTATTTTCGCTTCCATATTATAATTTCAACGTTCAGTTTGTAAGATACCGCCGGGGTGTATCTTGAACAATTTTATATTTTTCGAGCAAGTAGCAAAATGCCATTAGATACCCTCGGCTGATTTTCTAGGACGAATCTGAAGTCGGAATTAGAAGTAGGAATTATAATGTGACAGACCATCATCCCTATAATCCCTGATTCGGTGGATAGCAAACAACAAACAAACAGATTCAGCATCTGACTACTGGACTTCACATACAAAAACAGTTTTTTTTAGCAATATGTGCAACATTTTTATACCCGTAAATAGGGTATAATGTATTTGTGCATAAAGTATGTAACACACAGAAGGAATCGTTTCCGACCTCATATAGTATATATATTCTTGATCAGCATCAAAAGCCGAGCCGATTGAGCCATGTCTGTCTGCCCGTCCGTCTGTCCGTCCTGATGAGCGCCTAGTACTCAGAGACTATAAGAGCTAGAGCCACGAAATTTTGCAACCAGACTTCTGTATGCTCACACTGTTACAAGTGTGTTTAAAAAATGAGCCCCGCCCCCCGAAAAATTGCGAAAACCTCCCAAATCTACAATTTTGAAGATAAAGGAAAGCAATTCCCTAGGGAATGACCATATCTATCAGATTACCAAATTGGGATCCGATTGGATGAATATTATAGCCACAATGAAGAAATTAATTTCCAGTGGCTAAAACCCACCCCGTTCCCCAGCTTATATTTGTTTTTTGTTCACATTCTCTGCCTCTGCCGAATATTCTTGATCAGCCTCCGTCCGTC